CTATTTATTGCCTCTAATTAACTACTTGGATCACAGCCCTCAGGTATTAATTTAGTACTTGAATCCTTGATATTTTAACCAGAAATTATCTGTTCAAATCTCTGAGAGCTACTGCATCAGCCTCCTTCTCTTTCTGGACTGCCTGAGTTATTGTTTCTGCTCATCAGAGTCATATAATGAAGTAAAAATGTCATGGGACTTTGGGAAATGGAAAACTACACACACACACACACACACACACACACACACAGGCTCTTTAGCAAAGCTTTCATCATGCACTCCTCTACTCAGGAACCTGCGATTCTTAACTGCCAAGCTACTACTTCCAAACCGCTCTCCTCAAAGTCACTCATAAAAAAATACCCCATTCTGCCTGTCCCCCTGCATTGCGCATGTCAACAGGGGCCCTCCATTCCAGGCAGGCTGGACACCTTGCGCACCTTATCCATAAAGTCAATCAGCGAGTCCATACAGCTCTTTGCTATGTTCTGGCTATGTGACTTTAGCTCAGATATTTACATTTTCTGTGGGTCAGTTTTCTTAACTCTAAAGTGGAGATAGTAACAGTGCCTAACTCAGAGTATTGCTATAAAGATTAAAGTCAATATGTATTTATAAGGTGCTTAGAACAGAGCCTGGCACACAGTCAGCACTTACTAACAATTAGCTCCAATTAGTGTTATTATTGCGCTAGATTCATGGGGGATACAAAGATAAATTAGATTAGATTATTTACCTTTAAAGATATAGATTATTTTGTATACATTGTTTACCTTTAAATTATTTACCTGTTTTGTGATTGGTTTCTGTTTTATTTCCCTATCTCAGACAGTAAATGTCCATGCGCCACAACAAGGGGAAAAGTACAGTGGAAATGCCTGCATCCTGAATGTTTACAGGTAGGGTGACGAGTTATGCAGCCACATATACTACATAGTCAATGCAGGAAGAATGTATGCAGATGAAGGAAACTGTGCCCTTCCCCGAGCTTTGTTCTTCTCTCTACTGCCACTCTAACTCTTTCCCAAGATATGAAAGTCCTGGTCAGTACTCGATGGTCAGAGCCTCACTGACTGGACCGTGTTGCCTGTGGCAAGGCTCAGGGCCGGTTCCTGGACCTGGCCTGCAGACCTTAGCCGTGGGGATAAGGGAGCAGGAGGCTTCACATGGGACTTAACCCTAAGCCAACACCCAGCTCAGTTTTTCTTTTTAAAAGATTTTATTTATTTATTTTTAGAGAGAGGGGAAAGGAAGGAGAAAGAATGGGAGAGAAACATCAGTGTGTGGTTGCCCCTCGCGCACCCCCTACTGGGGACCTGGCCCATAACCCAGGCATGTGCCCTGGCTGGGAATCAAACTGGCAGCCCTTTGGTTTGCAGGCCAGCACTCAAACCACTGAGCCACACCAGCCAGGACTCAGGGTTGTGTTGTTTTTCAGAGCACCCTCAGAATAGGCTATTTACCCATAACCTGGTTTACATTCTACTGTTGTTCTGATACTATATAGATTCTGGGTCAAGAACTTCAAAATAAAGAGGTATGAGAGTGGTACGTTTCAAGCATTAAAACCTTATTCAAACTCCTAACCTTAGAGAGCAAAAAGGGTCATGGCAGGTTTGATAATGTGCTGTGGGTAAATATCCTTGCCTAGTGGCAGGGGATGGGAGAGGGAGAAAATTAGGGAAGGCTCCCTGAAAGAGGTGGCATTTGAGCTGGGACTATAAGAATGAGTAGTATAGACCAAGACAGTGGCAACCCCTAGGAATTCTGAAGACTAACATAGTTAAACCAAAACATAATTTAATTTTTTAAAAAACAAACATGTTAGCAGGTGATTAGAGACAACAGATCAGACACTGTCCAACCTCTGCCTTTGGGCCCCTTGGGCAACCTGGACACACTGGGAAAATGGCACCTGGAGGGTGGATGACCGTCAGTGGCTCTCCCACAGTGTCAGTGAGTTCTCCACCCCACCCCCGTTATTCTAATTCCCATTTGCTGATTTCCTATTACTAAGCTATCTTTCCATTAAAAACTCAGTTTCTTGGCTACTTTGACCCTGAGAAGAAGGTACCCTGCAAAAAACAAATAAGCAACCCAATCACTAGAAAAAGAAAACCTCATTTGTACCAACAGAAAGAATAGTTTAGAGGTACTATTTCCACCTCTTCATTTGCTACTTTCTGCAAAATCACTCAGGCTCCCTCCTTCCTTCTCCACTGAATCCATCCCTGGAAGATCTACCCACTTCCTCTCAGTTCCTGAACCCACCCACTATTCTGAGGCTCCATGCTGCTGGCCCTTCCTATGGCATGGGACACTGCTTCCTGACATGCTTTTTTTTCTTCACCTTCTGGCTGGGACGCCCTCTAGGACATTTCCTGGCTCTGATTCTGCCTGTTTGGCAGTTCCCTTTGAAGGTGGTGTCACTAATTATTTCTAAGGATCTTGGGAAAGTCTCCATTCAAGCCCCACAGTGCTAGAGCCCATGCCCAGGGTAATCTCATGGAGCACTGCCCCTGGAAAGGCTCACCCCACAAACATCCCGCTAGCACCCAGCAGGTGATGGTAGGACTGGCATATGAAGATGAGCGAGCTGGTCAGCAAGAAGAGTAGGAGAAGAGTAGAAGAGCTCACTGAGCTCAGTGAGAGAGCTTTCACTATCAGTGAGAGAAACAGTGGAGTGAGACAGGGTTGTAAAAGGAAGCTGGGCCAGGGAGGAAATTCTAGATGAAGGCGTTGAAGCTCCATCCAGGGAGCAGGCTGGAACCATCACAGATTTTTGAGGGTCAAGGCCGTGCTTAAGGCTGTACATGCAGAACGCATGAGGGGGGCAAGCAGGTAATCTGGGGATCTGTACACACATCACATGCCCTGCTGACTCTGCACAGCCACTTCACCCAAATGTCCTACCTACCTCTTCTGTCCCAGCAAAGTCTATACTTCCCAGCTAACTCTGCAGAGCCTTCCTATGGCTGCAGCCTACCTGATGTCCACGTTCATAAAACTGCACTACACAACAAACTTCATTCTCTCTGCAGATAAAAACTGACATAGAGCATCTGACCTTGTTCTTTGTTTGTTAGGTCCATGTGCCCAGTGAGAATATAAGCTCTCATATGCCACATCTGAGTTAACGGGTAGTGTGCTAGGCTGACTATAAACAGAATAAATGTGTATTAGATGCTTTCAGAAACAGATGGACTTTGGAATATTTATTATTTTCCAGAGTAACAGATTCTGCTTCTGCTTATTGTCCTCCCACATTCCCTGCCCCCATTCTTTACTTGTCCCTGGCCACATGGTTGCCCAGGTAAAAGACAGCCTCCCTTGCAGCTAGGTCATATAATTATGTTCTTGCCAAAGTAGTGTGAGCAGCCATGATCTGTGCAACTAGCCTAAAAGGAAACTGCTTCCTTTCTTTCTCCTTTCCTCAAGCTCAAACAAAGACATGCAAGCAACTCAAATTCCATACAGATGAGGACAAAGCCCTAGGAGATGGCGGAGCAATGAGATAGAATGACCCTAGGTCCCTGAATGACCTTGTGGATCAGAGCTGTCCCACCAGCCCAGACCAGCCAGACTCACGTGAGAGAAAAACAAACTGTCTTATTTAAGCCACTGTATATTGAAATCTCTGTTTCAGCAGTTAAGCTTCTACCCGACTAATATAGTTCCCTAAATTTATTATCTCCATCTTCCTTAATACAATAATTCCAATTTTTGAATTGGGTATTTTACTTTCCAGCTAAAAGGCTACATTTCCCAGCCTCCTTTGCACCTATGAGCGACCACATGACTAAGTCATGGCTAATGAAGTATAGGTAGAATTGTTATATGGGACTTCTGGGTAATCTTCTTATAGTCAGTGACCTTCTTCTTCCCACTTCCTCTTTTCTACTTTCTGGAAAGAGAATGTAATGGCTGGAGAGCAAACAGCCATTTTTAGATCATGAAGTTACATTCTAAGAATTGAAAAGAAGCAGAAGACCAGGACCCAGTGTCTCTGATATCTGTTCTGGGTTAGCTATTTCTAGATTTCATTACGTGACACAGAAATTTCTATCTTATTTATACTATTAATGTTTTTTTGTTGTAGGTAGTTAAATCTAACCCTAAGTAACAGATACATCCAGCATCATACTCGTTGCTGGGACACACATTTCCAACCCTAACTTTAAAAAACAAAAAAACAAACAAAACTATTCCTCTTAGTAGAAAAGAAGGAAAATCACTACTTTCCAAATTGCAGGGAAAAAAGAAGCCAGTTTCCATTTTTCTGAATAGAATCAGCTTGGGTTTTGTGCTCACTGAAGGATCTCCACAGGGAGGTCTGCGGCTGACAAACCCCCAGTCTCTGGGCTCAGCAGGCCCCAACAAGGCTGGCTCACACCAGGGGCCGTAACACTCAGGGTAACAGAAAAGAAGAAGGATGGAGGCGGGGAAGGAGATGTGACCCAGCTCTGGAGGCAGGGCAGTGAGCGCGAGCAGAACATGAAGAGCTTGCCATTGCAAATCTAGGTCAACACACACGGGGAGGAAGTCAAGCAACACCTCTCTTTAAGTCGGGATTTCTGTTTTCCACCGGCTGCTTGATCTCACACACCCCAGGCCAACGGCAGCTTTCTCCCCTAACTGTCCCACCCCCACCCCCACCCCCAACCCCTGACAGAGGTGGAAGCCAGATGCTGAAAACTGGGGGGGGAGCCCCACTTGTCCGCAGCTTCGCAGGACTTGGCTGACCACCTCCCTCTCCCAGCCTCAGTCTCCCCACCTGTAAAGAAGAAAGCGGGTGGGAAGGCGCTGACCGCTCTTCGGGTCCCTTCGCCAGGCGAATGGGGGTCTGAGCCCTGCGCTCTCCATCCGGGCCTCCGCTGTGCCAGAGCTGCCTCCATTCGCATCTTTACCGACTCTCCACCCCGGCTCTCGCTCCTGCCACCGCCCCCGCCCTCCACCCCGGGTCTCCCCTCCCGCAACCCCTGAACCTCACGCAGCCTCACCCTCCTCGGACAGGTAGCGCAAGTCGTAGAACTCCCCCGCGAACGTGCCGTAGGAGGAGTCGTGGCGCGGCACCACCTCGTCAGTGCTCGCATCTCCCCGCGCGCGGCCCCGGGGTCCCCGGCCCCCCGGGCCCGTGCCGTCGTCCGCGGGGCTGGCGGTGCAGGCGATGGGCCCGGCCAGCAGCAGCCAGAGCAGCGGCACCCACGCCCCCGGGCTCTGCCGGAGCGGCCGCGCCATCGCTGCGCACCGATCCCACAGCCAGGCCGCTCGGGCCGCAGCGGGGGCGCCGCGGGCGCGAGGCCGGGACTTCGCCGCCTCCGCCGCCGCCAGCACGCGCCGGTCCGTCCCCCGCCCGCAGCCCGCGCAGCCGCGAAGCCGCCTGCATCCGCCGCCTCCTGGCCTCGCTCTGCGCATCCTCGCTTGGGCCTGAAGCCTCCCCCCTTTTCCTACCATCCGCTCCTTCTCGCCGCACGCTCTCCTTAGCTTCCTCCGTCCTTTCCCCCAGCCTTGCCATTTCTCCTCCCCCTCCACGTGTCTCCACAGGCAGACTTGCCCCTTCTAGACTTGCTACTCAGAATGTGGTCCTCAAATCAGCCGCATCAGCATCCCCAGATTCCTTGTTAGCATCCTGACCTCACTGCAGATACATAAATCAGGGTCTGCATTTGACCAAGATCCCCAAAAGACTCCAATGTACGTTCAAGTTTAAGAAGTGCTCCCCTGGAGGGTTTACCCTTGGACACACCTTGTCAGAATTGCTGTCCTCCTCCCCCCGCCTTGTTCAAGCACTTTTTGATTTATATAAAGCAATTACTATACCCATTATACCTTGGGTCTTGGGATTATCACAGAAGGAAGTTGAAATAGCAAAGTCTTCACTATGAGTAACTGAGGTGCTTAGAGCCAGAGGGAAAACAGAGCCCAGCTCTCTGGGCTGGATTCACCTGCTTCCTCTCCAGACTTTCGGAGTCTGTAATCAGCAGAGACTGCTGATGCCTTTGCCTGACCTGTCCCCTTCACAGCTGGGCACCTGGTTTACTCGGTTTGCCCACAGCAAGCACGCACAGACCCTGGTAGGTTTATACCACGCCTGATAGCCACGCTGAATTCTCAACTCTCTCAAATCCATTCCCACCAGCAGCTTGCAATTAATTCACTTTGGTTGTTTACTCAGCCATCCCCTTATGCACACCAAGCACTTAACTACATGCCAGGTCCCGGACTTCTCTAATGGTGCTTTTGGAGTGATAACACATTCAAAGTGCTAAGCTGTTTTCTGTAAGAAAACATGGACACAATTCCTTTTATGCTGGCATTGCAGAGTCAGCATTTTTGCCTGCTTTTTCTAGGTTTCTTTTTTTTTTCCATAAACAAATAAAATAATTATGAAGGCAGAAAAACATAGAGGTTCCAAATGCAGACCCTGAAGTCAGTTTGGGTGGAGTGGTCATCAGTCACTTCTGTGATGGCCATAAAGAGTAAAGAAGATGATACAGGTAAGAATCAATAGGATTCAAGGCTACAAATCGCATGAATGAATAGATAAGATTATAACATACAAACATTCAAAAAATAAACTAGTGATCTCAACCTTTCTTGGCCCAGGGGAGAGGGGAAGACAGTACTGTTGTAGAAATACTGAAAAGTGCCGTGTGACCCAGAGATCAAGTGTTTGCTCTTGGGTATCAGCTGTCATTGACGGTGGTTTCAGTTAGAGTTTAAACATGTTTACCCGGACAGGTGTATCAGCTGTCATTCATAAAAACCTTAGGCTTCACAAGATCTCCCAATATAACAGTCGTTGCAAGAAATCAGATTTATTGCTTGAAAGGGGTAAGATGAACTACAACTACTTAAAAAAAAAATCAAGCAAAGAGACTTCTCCCAAAAAACAGCTTTGTAATGTATAAAATTCTAAAATACCAAAAAGCCAATTGATTGAAAATCTATTAACACGTAACCCTAAAAAAAAAACAAAACCTTCTTCTTAAAAATTGAAATTCCTTTCTTCATTTCTGATTTTACTGTTGATTATATTATTTTTTTATTCCCTTGATTTCAGTTATTATAATTAACAGTGATGGTTCCAGATGGAAGGTAAAAGAAAACCCAGGCGATTCTTTTGGTAAATTGGTTTGATAAAACCATGTGGGTTCTTTGTTTGTTTGTTTGTTTCAGAGGACATTAAGGTTGGTGTTGGAGGAGTGTTTACACCCACAGCCTAAAATAAGGCTTGCAGGTAATCTGTGGATTCAGTGATTTACCCAATTGAAGGACCTCGGGTCCATAGACTCAAAGAGGGCCATAGATGGGCTTCAGGGGCAATAGGAAGACCCTGTGAAAGCGCTGGAATAATGTTGTAGTCTATGGATTTTTCGAGGGAGAACACCCCTAGTTTCCATGGGTCACCTAAGGTCTTCATGCCTCTCCAGGGCCTCAGAACTTACTCCAGTTCCCACTTCCCTACCAACTTGGCTGCTTCCTTTCAAAAGCTTCTTGCATCCACTTAAATTGCCTTGGGGATTTTCTTATTCTTTGCCTTTTCTTACAATATTGAGCGTAGTTACATGCAGGTTTTGCAGGGACCCTCGGCTCCCCAGCGATGTAAATCTACTGAGTGGCTAAGAAATACTCTGGTTTTTTCCTCTTATGTACACATTTTCCGGGGGGAAACATTCCCTGAATATTCTGAGACCACTGGCTAAACAAGAGCCAGCTATGCAGACAAGAACTTAGAGATAAACCTGAGTTCAATTTCATTTTTAAAAGAAACCACCTTTATTTTCTGTTTTCATTAAAGCCATTTCTCTAAAACAACTTTTTTTTTCTGTTATAAAAACTCCCTCCTATCAGTGCTACATCGCACTGTGTAGTAATAGCTGTGATTTTTGCCACTTCCGATTGTTTAAGAAATAAGAGCTGTGATCTTGGCAGTTTCTCGAAAAGTTAAACAAAATCGTGCCATATGACCAAACTATTCCAATTTCAGTTATATACCCAAGAGAGCTGAAAATATATGTTCACCCAAAACACTTGTACACAAATGTTTTCATTCACAATAGCCAAAAAGTGGAAGCAACCCAAATGTCTATCAACTGATAAATGGATAAACAAAATGTGGTAGATCCATACAGCGGTATATCATTCAGCTATAAAAAGGCATGAAGCACTGACCCATGCCGCAACAAGGGTGGACCGTGAAAACAGTATGTTAAGTGAAAGGAGCCAGACTCAAGGGACCACGTATTGTAGGATTTCGTTTATATGAAGTGTGCAGAACAGGCAAATCCATAGACACAAATCAGAACCAGAAAGTAAATGAGCAGGTGCTGAGGGATGGGAAAGGGGAGACTTGATAGTGCCTTTAGATGTGGAGTTTCCATTTGGAATGATGGGAATGTCCTGGAATTTGTGGTGATATTGGCACAGCATTGCAAATATACTAAAAAACGGTGAATTGTACACTTTAAAATGGTAATGGTGAATTTTGAGTTTTTCAAAGGCAGTGATTTTTGAGATGGTAAAAGAAATATAAAGAGAAAGAGAAAGATATCAGGTTTGGAGAATATAAAATTTGGGTTGCATTCAGGTGGGATCTTCTGAATGCTCCAGGGCCTAGTTTTAAAACTCTTCAAACGTCGGAAGAAGAATCTCCCACAAGGTCTACAGTCCACACACCCTGTGGAAGGCCGGCTTCCCAGGCCCCTTGCACTAACCCTCATATCCACCAGGGGTCTGTAGCCCACACTTTGGAGCCCTTGCTCTGCAATGATTACCTCAGCAAGCTGATGTCCCCCCACCCCCTGACATAAGATGTGTATTATGTAACCAAGCGGTGCTATTGTTTTGGTTTTAAGTATATAAAAAGGATGGAGCAGTTGTACCAATTCACTTTTACCCCAGTGAATCCACCCGACCCACCGTCATCTGCTCAGCTCAAGATGCCGAGCACCCATTATACATTAACGTAGGCAAATAACCAGGACAACTGCCAAAACAATGGAATCCTCTTGATTTTACTGGTTAGAGTTGAGCTGCCAAAGGTACTGGGTTTTCATATACAGTATTAGCCAACTAGTTTGTGATCAGACTTCCAGTGACATTAACCTTCTGAAACATCTGTGGACCTCGGGGAATGTGGGGAAGAAGCAGGAGGCCGGGAGCCTCCTAAACACAGCGGCCAAAAAGCCCATGCATCCCTCCTCAGAAGCAAAGCCAACCTGACGCCCTGTAACCCTGGGGTTCCTGGCTTCTGCAGGAAAACTTCTATTTTGCCCAAGAAGTTTACATTAGAGAGCAGGAGGTGAAGAGCAGAAGACTCAGGAAGCAGGTTAGGAGAGGGGAGGGAGGGCGCTGGGTTGGCAAGAGGTGACAAGCCCAGACACAGGTGGCTCCCCCATATTGTACAGGACCACATTTTGCATCATTGTGTGCACAAGACTGAAAAAGCTGTTTTAAAAGTACAGCCAGGGGTCATGTAGTATGGGTGTTCAAAGGTCCCAAGTACCCCAATTGCCCCAGGTGGCTTCACTGGTGGAGCAGACAGCAGTAAAAGCCATCAATGAGAAGAGCACAATAGTCTGTGAAAGGCAAAGCCAAGCCCCACACATTCTGTTAACTTCTGATGACAGCACTGCACCACATCAAGGTACAAAAGGGGCCGATGTTTACAGTGATGACCATGACTCATCGAGAAAAGCTTAAATACTCTCCAGTATTCTCTGTTTACTAAGGCAGGGAAGTGTGTAGTACATTTTAGAAAGATTTCCCTCAAAAAATATTAATGTTTTAAAGATTCAGCACTTCCAGGGTTAATCCTCTGTTATCTGAATATTTGCTTGCATACCTCGTTTTACAACAATGCTAGTAAATGAGGCATTGCTCTTTTTAAATAATCATTAGTATCAAATTATTGGCACCATTCAGTTTGAAGTACAGGGACAGGAGAGCAAATTATACAATACAACATAAAAATACAGTTCTGATACAAATATATGAGATCAATTTCACTTAACAAGTGGTCTTAAGAAATGGACATTTTACACATGAGGAAATATAGCTAGTAAATCATCACATGGAAAAGGGCTCAGCCTTGCTAGCAATTAATGAAATAAAACAACATTTCAAGAACAACAATACACACCTATTAAACTAGCAAAAATAAATAAAAGTGGCAAAACCCAACACTGGCAGAACTCTTGGTAAATAGAAATGCTTATACATTGCTGGTGGCATCATAAATTGTAGAAGGAATTCAAGCATTCAGAGGAGATGGGGGGGGGGCAGGTTGAACTAGGTGACCTTTAAGGTCCTGGCAACCCAGAGATGGGATCTTTCTAGAAAGCAATCTGGCAATATAAAGCAAGAGCTATACAATACTTCATGCTCTTTGACCTTGTAATCCCCTCTTTGGAGACATTCCCAAGGGAAGAATCCAAATGAAGGATTTTTTTTTTTTTTACAAAGACATTCATAGCAGCACTATTTATAAGAGTGAAAAATTGGATATATATCTCAAATATCTAATAATGGGGAGGAGTGAGGTTAAGCATGTTACGTGGATATAAAGACATTTAAATGGGCAAGAGCAGGATCTGTGTTGAAAAGAGAAGCTATGTGTTAGGTGGAAAAGTACAACCAAAGAGTATGTACACACCAAACGTACCTATGTAAAATGGTGTGCATATTCATTGAGAAAGCTTGGGAAATAATTTGGAGGGTTAGTGTGTGGTTAGGGGGGTTCCTTTATTCCTGCAAAGTTGTTTAAGTGCATAATAAAAATTTAAAAACACATTTCATGAAACTTATAAAAAGAGAACAGAGTTTCTTCTGATCAGGTTTCTATCAACAGGATAGACATTGATCAACTTTAGAAATAATTTTCCTTTGTGGGACACCCAAACGAATCCTGACACGGAATCATCTTAACCTTGCAAGGGTTTTTAGAATATAAGCTCCAATTTCCTACTTTGGGTTCAATAATGAATTGCATGTATCCCAAATAATGTCATATATAACAAAGTCACAAGTGAGATTATGTTTCGGATTAAGCTGAAGTACCTTAAGTCCTGGTGATAACAACTTTCCTTTTCAGCTCATCTACTCGTGTCTGAATAAAAATGAATGTTAAAGACTTTAAAAGATATGTGTATTTACTAGTGTAAATGAAAAACCAGCAAAAAGAATTATTCTCGCATTAAAAATGACTTTAACAAACAGTCAAAGCTTGGTGTGAGTTTCAATCATACAAAAATCACATGGTTGAGATTGATAGCAAAGGATTCTGCGCCTTATTCACCCCTGTGGTTATTAATGTATACACACAGGTACTCCTGAACATGAATCCACATTATTCCGTTTCTCTTCGCCAAGCCTTACCAATCCTGTCTCAACGACATTGAGTAGTAGAAAAACTCTAATACTCAGGAGACATAAAATAACTTTTCCAATAAAAGTCAAGCCAGATGTTGGCTTCCACCACCATGGAGACCTGGGCGAACAGAGCACACATTTGCACGTTGTGCTAGAGTGAGCCCACAAAGCCCAAAGAAGGAAAATGACAGAAGGCACCATGCCATCCTCCAGGCAACAAGGGGAGAATTCACAGTTCGGTCATCAACAGTCTTTTCATCATTTTCTCTCTCTCCAGTTCCTGCCGGAGCGTCTCTGCACTGAAAAAGAGTAGGGGACAAAATAATAAGATAAGCCCTTAAAAACCACCAGAGCAGACTCAGCTGAAGTTGTCTCCAAGATCCTTTCTTGACTGCAGTTCTTGGTTCTCTCTGGTAGGCTCCTTAAGGCCCCTCTGCGTTGTCTAGCATTGCAATGACCTGAAGTCATCCACCTACCTATTGGCTTCCCCCACCAGACTGAGAGTTCCTCCAGGCACGCTCCTCAGGGGCCTGACTGCATATATGTCATTCACCTCTGAACCCCCAGAGCCTAGCGCAGGAGCTGGTGCACAGCAGCCTCTCAGGAAGGTCTTTTGAGCGATTGGGAAGATGTCTAGAGGTTAGATTTCTTGAAATCATGCTTTCAATTGGTCACGTATGCACTTCCCTCTAGAATTCCCTTCTATGTTTTCTTTTTTTTTTTTATCCTCACCCGAGGATATGTTTTCATTGATCTTAGAAAGAAAGGGGTGAGGGGAGAGATGAGGGGAGAGAGAAGCATCATCGATGTGAGAGAGAAACATCAATCATTTGCTTCCGGTATGTGCCCAGACTGAGGATCAACCGGCAGCCTTTTGGTGTGTGGGACGACACTTAACCAACTGGGCCACCCGGCCAGGGCCCTCCTACTGTTTTAATAAATACCATAAAATTAAAATTGGCTGCTTTAAGAGATTACTTCTGACTCCTTGGCCTGAGGGCCCAGTTGCCTCTCTATGGAATCTGCTTCCACCATTCCCATACCCAGATGCATTCATTTAATGTCTGTTTCCCCTCTCCCAACGCTAAATTGTAAACTTCATAAAGATAGGACTTCTATCTGTTTTGTTCACTGTCGAGCCCTAGGGCCTGGAGCACATCTAGCCTTTGAAGACATTTCAGTAAATACAGAATAAAGGAATGAAAGGACGAACGAGAAGGCTGCGGACATCACGAACACCAGGAACCTAAGCCTGTGCCTGGTGCCCCTGCCTCACCTGGCTGCCAGAGAGACAGGCTTCCGGGTGCTGTAGATGGTCTGCACGGTGGAGATGGTCTCTGTCAAAGGCCTCAGGGTCACTGTGGGAATCAGCGGCGAAGACTGGCCAGGGCAGCACTGTGACTTACTGTCTCTAAAGTCTGCCTGGAGAGGAGACGGAAAAGAGGAAATCAATCTCAATTTGGGTTCCATTTTCACCCTGTCAGCTGCTCCCTGAGCCTTACCATCCAATTCCTGTTATTTTTTTAATAATAGCGAAACTCAATGGCCATTTATTAAAATGATTTACTTTGTGCCAGACACTAGGAAAAGTACTGTACATACATTACCTACTGAGGTCCTTTAAGGTAGAGATCATATTTTGTCACGTTAGACACCATCATTGTAAGATGCACCATTTTTTGGCATGTGCCACAGAGAAGGTGTCCATTCTAGCTTTGTTACACCCACTGTTGTATTAATTTTCTGATTTCAGAAAGGTTAAAAGGTGAGAAAAATGTGCATCATAGAACTGATTCTATGGAAAAGGGAAGTGAGGCTCAGAGAGGCTAAGTATCTTTCCAAGGACACACAGGATGTGTTAAGAACCAGTGTTTAGAACCAGGGTTAGCTGATTCCTTAATTGGTGTTTTTTACCACTATAACAGTGGTTCCCAAAGTATGGTCCCCAGACTAGCAGCATCAGTATTATCTTGAAACTTGGTCAAAATGCAAATTCTCAGGCCCCACTGAGGACCTCTGGAAACTGAATGTCTGGGAAATGTGTTTTTACTAGACCTCTAGATGATGTTGAAACAAGGTCAAGTTTGAGGTACACTGCCTCATTTGGAGAGAATAACTGATCATTGTTGTTTACATTACAAAGCATGATATGCGGATTACTTTTATCTAGAAAACTTAAAAGATATAGAAAAGCAAATAAATGAAAAAATTCCATAATCCTTTTTTGATGTTGTCAGTATACAAGGGGGTGGGGGGCTGAAAAAACCTAGAATTATCTTCCGGAGGGCGGGCCCCTGTAGTACAGGCTTCCCCGACTAGGTGAGTGTCCTAGAAACCGATCTGTGTCAGTGTACTAGCTGGTGTTGTTGTTGAGAATCTGCATTTGGCTCCAGTGAGTTTTTTTTTAAGACTCTTTCAACGCATGTGCACATTTCATGATGGGTGGTGTACGAGTGCACCTGCCCACACTGCGCTGAGTTTTCAGCAGGTTTTGACCAAAAACAGCATGACTCCCATGCCCTACCCTCCCTACTCACCCAATCTCTCCCCATGTAACTTTTTTTGTTTCCCCAAATGAAAAAAGTCCTCAAGGGGAAACATGTTGCCGATGTGGAAGAGGTAAAACAAAAAATCAGCAGCAGCACTAAAAAGCATAAAAACCCACAAGCTGAAAAAACTGTTTTTAGCAGCGGAAAAAGAGTCTCAATAGATGTATTACATCAAATGGAGAGTACTTTGAAGGTGACTGAAGTTTAAACATGTAAAAATAAATACAATTTTTTATAAATAAATTCCAAGTTTTGGGGGGGACCCCATCGTGTACTTCCTCACAGGATTTTTCTATGCTTGCTTTTCATTTGTTTTATATCCTTTGGATAATGCCAGCTTTCTATTTTATTACTTGATTTTTCACACTAGTTCCTGGCCTTAAACTTGGAGGAACTTATCCCAGAGCTTTCTGAAGAAGACGGTTTGATCATCAAATGAGCCCTATAGCTGTAGTCATTAGACGGAAGATAAGCCATCCCTTCCAGGGAAACATGAAAAACCTCTGAAAACACCACGTATAGTTATAGTTCTATAAGGGTATATCTGGCTTGAGCAATGGGGAGAGGCTTATCTTTGAGGGGGTCACGAAAGGCTATTGTTGGAAAGGGCAAGCTCCGATTTGTTTCACACCGGCCTGCAGAGAGAGACCCGAGCGAGCGGGCCCGGAAGGGAGCCATGCCACAGAACTGACCGCGAGAACAGGAGCGTCATACATCCTCCAGCATGCAGTGCTTGCCACAAAGGGCTTGCACACGGGTTGGGCTCTGGCGGTCATTTGTTCAGGCCACCAGACAATTCTGGCTCATCACTTCCGGGGCACCGGGGAGGACTGCCCTCCCCCGCCCTCTGCACTCTCCCACGGGCCTCGCTTTGGCCAAGGAAGTGTGGGTTGCGGTGCCGTATTTCATTTCCTTTGAAAGATTGAGGAACCAGTATGTGATTTATTGCCTCTTTTTTCCCCCCTCTGCCACGGTGACTAGCAATGTTTCAGATGGCAGCTGGTCCATTAGCCTGGGTCCCAGAAAGAGGACGGCACAGAGCGGAGCCCGGAGCCCACGCGTGGCAGACGTGCAGCAGGCGTGCGAAATTCAATTTGTCATTTTAAAGCGTGACATAGCTCATCTTTCCTGATACACGAGCTGGGGGAAGAAGGTTTGTTTTTGTTGCTTCGGTGAAGTGATTGGAGGTTGGACTTTTAATGCGACTTTTGATATTTTCTGGAAAAAGAGGGAAATATGGCACAAAGGCAACGGTGGGTGGAAGTGCCAGGGCCTTAGCATGAATCAAGGCAATGACACCAAACTATATGAGCAGTCACTATATTCCTTGATGCTACGTACTCCAGGAAGAAAAGCTAGCTTCACTCAAGAATGACCTTGGAGAGCAGTGAAGGTTACCAATATTATGAAATCTCAACCTTGAGTACTCAGCTTTTTAATATTTGTTGAATGAAGAAATGAATAAGTGAATGAACTTTCACTGGAACGAAGCAGATAAAAGAGGGACAGACCCCGGTTGGGAGGAAAAACATGGGGTATTAATTTGACTAGAGCCTGCATGGGGCCGTCATCCTAGATAGACCAAGGTACTAGGCTGAGTACAGAGCAGAAATCCAGTTAAGAGGCCTGAATATAAGACAGGAACTGGTTTTAGGATCAAGGAAGGAGCCCAGCTGTTGAAACCAGGCTCAGGGTCAATGTTAGATCAATTGCCAGACCAACGTTGTGCAGTTTCCTGGTCCTGCTGAACTTCCCAGTCCCTGGGGCTGGGATATGTCTGCAGGTCTGTGGAGAGGCCAGTCCTGGAGCAAGGTCAAGGATCTTGACCTTGGTGGGGAGGAGGGGAGAACATGACACACAGGGGTGAGAAAGTTAGGAGGCTGAAGTCCACGAATTGGGCTGTCAGTAACTCCCTATATATTATCTCCAGTCTAGTCTCTTTCCTCAGTTACAGACTTGGCTCTCCAATTGCCCATCCATTGTTTCCACCTGGGTACTTCCAAGGCATTTCTTTCTTGCTTTTTTTAGTATATTTTTATTTTTTAATTTAATTTTTATTATATTTTTTCCATTCCAAGGCATTTCTAACATGCGATGGCCAGAGGCAAATTCATCATCCTTCCCAATCCAGTCTTCTCTCCGATTTCCTTACATCAGTGAATGAACCCACTGTCCATCTCCTTCCCGCAGGTCAGAAATCTGGGAGTCGTTCTTGACCTTCCCTCTTCCCTATCTAATCCAATTCCTTACTCATCTCCTCAATATCTCCCCATCTGTGCGCTTCTCTCCACCTCCACCACCAGAACGGCTCTGGGTCAAGGTCTCTGCCCCCTTGCCCTTGAACTGCCGTCTTCAATTTCTGGACTCCTGTCCTGAATCCACTCTGCCTGTCACGGGGAACATTTCCAAATGCACCTGCCCTGTCACCGCCCTGCTTAAGTCCTTTAAATCCTTCCATTGCTCTCAGGATAAACATCAGAATTCCTCCTGTGGCCCACAAGGCCAAGCACGGTTTTGGCCCTTCAGTGTTTGTTCCTTCCTCTCCTTCCTCTTCTCATGCCCCACTCCCTTGCTCTCTGCGCCTTAGTCTCTCTGGCTGTCATCTCAGTCCCTCGAACGTGGGATGGTCCCTCCTGCCCCACGTTCATGCTGTTCCCTCTGCTGGCTCCAGCTGTGTTCAAGCCACTCTTGCCCAGTTCTTAAAAGTCCCAGCGTGGTTTCTAACATTAGTTTCCTGCTCCATCTTGGCCCCCAGCTTTTCAGGAAGGGCTTCCCGGGTGTCTCACGGCACTGCCAAGGCTGGGCAGGAGGCCAGAGTACCCATTACGGCCAGCGGAGGGAACAGGAGCCAGGGTTTCCAGCTGGGGAGCTGTGCCTAGCAACACTGCAGGGCCGGGGTGAACGTCGGAGCAGCAGCATCGAACAGCACGGCCCAGCCTCTACCCTCTGGTTCTGAAGAGGTGGGTGCTGCAGGCGGCTAACGATCCTAGACATGGACATTCCTGGAGCCTATTTTCTGCCTCCTCCTCACTACTGAACACCTTTCCGTCTGTTTGTCCTGAAATCAGCCACTACTCACGCCTTCCCTCTCCCTGTGACTCAAACTACCTCAGCGAGGGACCATTATCCAGCTCATGAGACTGCGCTTCGAGCTGCCCCCCGGTCACCCACAGCCCACTCCACAGATCCTTCTGATTGGCCAGAAACCCTTTGGAAGGAGTCTCAGGAATCATTTGGTTCTAGGAATTGCCAAGACTGATCCCGGGGAGGAAGAGAGGGGAGCAGAAAGAGGAGGGTCCCTGGACTCCCCACCGGTGCCCCAGACAGCTGCCCATGCCACAGTGAGCTCCTGCAGAAGTTTTCACTTAAAGGAGAGAACTGAGCGGCTGAAAAGGAGCCTGAAAATCATCAGACACTCAACTCTGCAGATAAGGAAACTGTAACACTTATATGTTAAAAAACATTTCAACCGTTTGCAGTGAGTTTAAATAGGCTGTCCAGTGACACAGAGAGAGGTGATGTCATGAAGCCGGTTGTCAGGACTACCAGCGCTTGTTAATTATACCGCCTGCCTCTCCAGCCTTGAGAAATAACAATCACGCCTGACATTTGTGGGATGGTCTGTGGCCACTAACGTACTTTCAAGTTCTTGATCTCTTTGGTTCTTGCCTCGGCTGGACACAAGGAGGATATTCTTATCACTCTGTCCACTTTAAAGAAGGAGAGAGTGGTATTCAAAGTGGTCGAGTGACTTACCTAAAATTAGCCCCTGATCAAGATGCAGATCCAACCCAAAAGAGAAAAAACTGATACTCAAACAAATACCATGTCTATGCATGTTCATAGCAGCATTATTTATAATAGGCAAAAGGTGGAACAGCCCTCAATAAATGAAGGGATCAACACACTGCAGTGTATGCATGCAATGGAATTTTATTCTGCCATAAATAGAAATTAAATACTGATACGTGCTACAATATACACAAGCCTAAAAAATGTTATACTGAGTGAAAGAAGTCAGACACAAAAGGTCACATGTTACGCGATTCCATTTCTATGAAATATCCAAACTAGGTAAATCTACAGGGACAGAATGCAGATTGGTGGCTGCCAGGGGCCAGAGGGAGGCAGGATATGGGGAGTGACTGCTTAACCAGCATGAGGTTTCCTTTGGGGGTGATAAAAATGTTTCAGAACCAGAAAATGGTGGCAGTTGCATGACCCTACACATACTAACTGTCACTGAGTTGCCACTTTAAAATAGTTAATTTTATGTTGCAAAGCTCACCTCAGTAAAACAACTAAAAGATGGAGAACCCCCTCAAATCCCGGCTCCTTCCAAACTCACAGAGTCCACAGGGATCAAAAGAAGCTGTGAGCAGGGCTGCCTGGTGCTCCCCAGAAAAGCACGCCCCGTGGGCCCAACGCCTTTAAATGGAGATCGGTTTTCTCCATTTAAAGCTACTTTTAAATGGAGCTACTTACGGTAAACTGTGGCCCTGTAATGAAAGGATCAGGAAACGGAGTCACTGTATCAACCGGGAATGTTTTTATCTTCAAAAAAGAGAAAAGACAAAAGAGTGTTACTTTCAGATCAGAAAACAAAGTTTTGCAATTTTGGCAGTGTACTTTCAAAACTGAACCGAAAGGTCCGTGGGAACGCATGCAGAGCCTTCATTGCTTGTGTAAGGAAACACGTGGCGGTCCCTCAGCAGTGTGGCCGGTGGTGGTATCTAGGGTTGTTGTGCCGTAGGCCAGGGCTCGGCAGGGATGAGAGGCTGGAGTCCCGTGTTTGAGGGCACCCTATGCTTACGTTGCCCTGGAACACCCTTCACTGGGGTCTGCTTGGGGCTCCCAGGCATGCCGGGCCCTATGCGTGGCCTGCTCCACTGATCATGAGGCCTGCCAGGGCTGCCGGGGGCTGCTGACAGCTTCTCTGTGGCTGAAGGGAAGGGGCTCGTGACTGCCAAGAGGTCCCATCCTAGGATACAGTCTGTCACGGTGGACAGAGGAGTGACTCACTTAAGATCACACTATGAGCCCAGACACGGACTAATTAGGCCAGAAAGTGTTCCCTATCTGTTTACTTTAGTTGTTGAACTCCCTGTAAACTGGGCAGCAGAAGGGACCCACATAAGCACGTGAGAATCCCGCCACTGTGGTCTCTGTGCACAGAAGGCACAGTGATCAAAAGTGCCCAGTTCCGGGGGTGGCTGCAGCCCAAGGCTGGTCTGAAACAGGGTGGGTGCACCAGTGTGGTCAGGTAGTGGTGGGTAGCCACAAAGGGCCTTTGCTTCCATTTCTCCGTCTGGTCATGCTGTCTTTTGCCCCCTGGAATCCTGGGGAATCAGGAGAGGGGCTTATTTCCTTAAGTTGGCCTATAGGGATTGCGGGCAGGCCCAGGGACCTGATGACTCTGGCACTAGCTTTGTCTGCAGCCCCAGGGCACAGAAGCTGCCTGCACACCTGCTGGTGAATGCACACTCTGCCACCCACCACAAGAGGGCAGCAGCCTTTGTGTCCCTCAGGGTCTTGTCTATGGACCCTGGGGCAACTCCTTGATGCTCTTGAGTCACTCTCACGGGGAGTAAGATAGGAATGAGCAAGGACACATCAGGCCAGGCCCAAATTCGCGGACATTTCTGAATGGGTGGGGTAGGTCTCACTCCAGCTGATTGGGAATGACAATGTCCTTGCAATGTGCATTGAGAGGTCCAGTCCAAGCCTACTCCCCTCCCCCAAATTCTCTTCTGCCTCTTTCAACATCTCCAGGTTCCCAGAACGGACCCCATACTGCCTTAAGATTCAGGTGCCAGCTCGGATTGCTGGAGGAGACTGCCTACATTGCAGCAGGGTTAGGACTGGGGGCAAAGCCACGTGGTGTGTTCTCCTCATGTGGCCTATTGGGTCCACGTGGTGTTCGGGGACCAAGAGTCAAATGAAAAGTAACATACGGATAAGACTCTCAGACCATGATGGGGGAGAAGGGGAAAGAGGTTTGTTATTGCTATTAAAGAAATGTGAAAGTTGGCAACTCCAAAGAATTATGTTATGCTTGTTCTAAATAAGCAGGAATATATTGCAATAGCTCTACCCTGTGCTGTTCAGATGTGGCCAAGCATATTCACCCTCCTGATGGCACTGCGACTTGGTATAGCCACGTTAGCAAGGGCGCAAAGTCAAAGTCCCACTGTTGAACCTGGCAGGGTCTAGCCTGAGAAAATGAAATGCCTGATGCAAAAGCCAACATGTGTTCCCTGGAAAAGTGACACATTGGAAACCAAGCACGTGCCCTGCAGTAAAGAGCTAGTTAGGTAAATGGTGGACCACTCACTCAATGGAACATAAACGGTCATAGAGAATGCAGTAACAAGACAGAAAGAACACAACATTAAGTGAAAAACAGGAGATGATACGGATACTAGGATTTAACTACGTAAAATTCTGAACAAATATGAATAACTATTACCAGGAAACATGCAAAAATGAAAAAAATATGTTAGGCTGGGGTTATGAGTGATTCCTTTCAAGTCATTATGTAATACTCATATTATCTTGATAAACAGCAAGACAAGTTTTTAAAAATTTTTATTTTCAATAGCAAAGCAACTAAGAGTTTCCTCTCTGAGAAAAGCATCTATGCTCATTGAAGCTCCAGGAAAACAAACTCTTCCTGGTGCTTGTGACCTAGAAATGAAGGGGCAGAACCACAGCCCCATCCCAGTTTGACCAGAGCCAGCCGGTCCCACACTCTGCATCCGTCCTGGAGTGACAGCACCTGTCAGCAGAGGTCCGCCGCTCCTGCACACCCTTGGGACCGCCGCCTGGTGGCTCCTGCCCGCCTCGCCTCTCCTGGCCAGGCCCCTCTCCCTGCCAGGTACCTACCAGCCTCGTTTTGATTGGAGGGTGCATGCAAACTCCAGTGGTCTCTTCCTTCATGGGGAGAGAGAGTGGAGGAGAGCAGCGAGAGTGGGCACAGTGGGGGGCGCTGGCGGGCTCTGCCTGCTCACGAGGAGTGGAGAGAAGGGGGGAGGAGGTGAGAGACGGGGAGGAGGAAGAGGAGATAAGGGAGGGGGAAGGAGAGAAAGATAGCATAGTGCAAGATGGATCTGTCAACGGCTGCTCTCAAGCCAGCCTCACCCGCAGCCTGCTTCCAGCCTCTGGCCGACCTGAGGCTAGTCCCTCCCGCCTCCCTCCGCTCTCCGCCTTCTCTCCTCCTCTCTGGCCCTCAGCTCTCTTCTCTACACTATCTGAGCAGAACACCACATCAAAACCCCATTCCCGGGATGGGCAGGGAGGGGCCGTCTCCTGTGCCAGCTGCACAGGACTGGCAGTGACGTCCTGGCATGCTGTCGAGGATCCTGACCCATTGCTCCGGCCAAGCCAGGGAGCCAGCTGGGAGGAGTTAGTGGGATCGGCATGGGGGCACTGTGAGGAGTGGCTGCGCTCGTGGGAGTAATTGCCTCCCATGGCTGGTGGCCCCCTGCGTTCTGCTAAATAAGGGTCCACATTATGGCGAATCGGTGAGCTGACGTCCAACAGAGCACCCCAGCAAAGGGATATATCGGCAAGCAGGAACACAGAGTTTAGGCTTTAATCTGTCATGTCTTTTATCTGTGTTCAGAAAACACACTAGCCGTGAACCCCCGCCCACACCCCTGGGCCCACGCCTGGGCATCTCGTCTTGGCACCGGGGTACCCTGCTGCTTAGCTGGAAGATACCAAGCATTGTGTGAAAATGCTGCGTCACTTGGGAGGCCAGCTTCCCCAGCCCAGCCCTAACTTGTGCCATGCACCGGGCAGAGGTCCAACAGCTTGTCCTGGTGAAAATGACGATGGTGAAGAGAGGATGCTCTGAGGTTAGCAGAGGGGACCACTGACGGGGTTAGTTTGGCTCTCAGGGAGGGACCATTCGCTCCACAGAATAAATACATGCATCTTTTCGCGCAAGAGAGTTTCCTTAAGTAGTTGGTATGATGCTGCCATAATGAATAAAGCACAGCCTCTGGGCAAGCTGCATTGAAACTGGTCAAGAGACCTGCAGGCGCCTTTCCTCTCTCCACGGCGATCTAACTGCGTCCCCTTTCCCACTGGGCAGTCCTGGACAGCTTCCAGGGGCCTCCACGGCCATCTCACCGTGGCCTTCACAGCAGCCTGGTTTTACTCTTCCAGCTGGGGATGTGCAGAAGTGGCATTTGCAAAGTCCAAATCCACGGGTCTAGACCCCTTTTGTGATTGGTTCTAAATCTACTCTTCAGAAACAAGTGAATCCCTATTAGTTCCCTGCAGTTAGGTTTTACCAGCCTGCTCACAGCCCCTCCTGCTCTCTCTGGTTCTCAGGCTAAATCCTGCCCTGCCTGAGGCAGTGCCCACGGCCCGTCCCAGGCTCGGCTCCCAGCACCACCCCGGGCACACAGCCGCGGCCAGAACCACGGCGCAGGTCACGGGGCCTTTGCCTCTACAGGTAACACCAGGCACACTACGTGTGCTTTTTGAAGAAAATAAAAGCAGGCATAAATGACCAAGAAACATGGACATACTGCTGGTAAGCCAAGATGTGTACAGCCCAGCCATGTCTGAATTGGAGATCATAATGAATGACTTAGCACTTTGCCCAGCACTGGACTTTTATGGTCAAGAAATGTTGATCCCCAAAGCATCTCTGACCTCTCAAATATGCATCTGAGTAGATCTAAACAAAAGGACATTCCTGAGGCTCCCACACTCTTGACTCTTAGTACATGAACAGGAAATAAGATAACGTATGTCATAGGTACTATTTTGAAAGGCCTGGTGCTTCCTTCCCTCCTTGGATCTTTCCCACATTCAGGCAGCTAGGTTCCAGTTGGCTTTGAAGTTTCCAAATCCGACTTTTGGGAAGGATTTTGGCCTAGACAACTGATGATGAAAGTGTGTGAGGCTTCATCGTGCAGATTAGAAAGAAGGTAGTCAGTTTGAGGACAGAGGAGAAAAGTCGGAGAGGCGGGGCAGGCATTAGGGAGTACCGAGAAAAGGGGCCCTGTCCCGGGGCTGAGGCTGGGGATCAGAGAACACCGGTGTCCCTTGCTCAGGTAGAGCTGGGGACCCCCGTGGCAGGCCCCAGAGCAAAGGGCTGTGACGTGTGCCCAGCAGATAGGGATTCACATCCCAACAGGACAGTGATTCCCATTCCACTGTCCGCATGAGGGAAGCAGAGTGCCCCAAAGTGTGGGCAAGCAGACGATGTCACAAACCACATGCCATCTTTCCCTGTCCCCACGCTCTGGAGAACACAGAGGCCCCCTGATTTGACTGGAGATGAAGCTTCAGCCCTCGTGATAGAATGAGGTTCAGAATAACAACTGCGCTATTGAGGCAAATGGAAACCCAGTCCTGTGACAGCCAACGCAGGGCCCGTTCTGTGCCTTCACAGCCGGCCTCCGGCTACACCCATCTCTTCCCTGACACACGGACTTGACCAACCGTCTCTGACCCAGAAGAGACCCGGGTTCTGACTGGCTCTGCTTTGCAGCTGGGTGAGTGGTTTAGGAGGCACAGAAACCAGGGAGGGACAAGCCTCCAAGAGAAAGAAAGCATCAGGAACACAGAGGCACAGGTGTCGAAAGCCTCTGTTACCTGGGGGGTGGCGGGAGCTGGCATGACTGACCCGGGGTGGGGTGGGGGGGCAGGAATCTGCATCCCTAGGGGGTCAACATTATTGGTTGCCAGTGTGCCCTCCCTCCTTCCAGCTGCCCTCCTCTATTAACACCAACACGCTCTGGGCACTGCTCACACTCACGCCCTTGCAGAGCGTACCAGACGGAGAGTGGGCGCTGTCTTGTCTCACTTGCCTTCTCTCCCCACCCCCACGCCCCACTCCTTCCATCCCAGGCAGAGGCTGATCTGAAGATGGAGTCTGTGATGCAGACTCTGGGACCGGGCAGACAACAAGCTGCAGACGTGGTGGGACTTAGATCGCTAAATTGAGCTACCTAATAAAAGAGTTGGGATTAGAGTAGAAACGATTTGGGAGAAGGAGGGGGAAAACAATGCCGCAAGGGTGAAGCCGGAAAGAATGTTTTTGGGAAGAGTTTGAGGATGAAAGCCTTGGGGGTGCGCAGGGGGCAAGAATATTAAGAAGGTGGCGCAAAGAGATTCAAGAAGTGTTACCAGGTGTGCACTTAATGCTCTTAGATTTTTTTTTTTTAAACAACAGCAGTCAAGACTGAAACCCTTTTTTTATTATTCTTGGCTGTTTGGACTATGCTTCCTTGGAAACCACTCCACACAGACTTGTCCATACCGGTGGAGGGTCCCAAGATTAATCCAGCCCTGAGAGGGTCTTAGTGGAATGCTGCCGAATGAAGGTGAGATAATCTGTCCCTTCATCTCTTCAGCTCCCTGTCCCTCTGGCTCTGATCTCTCTCCTTTCCTCTGTTCTCCAAGGAACCGGGGCAGTGATGTGGCCTTAGGAGTCTCATTCAGCCCCAGACCCTAAGTCCAGTCTCTCCTCTGCTGTCTGGAGACACAGACCCCCCATCACCCTGACCACAAGGGCGGAGGGGCTGCTGCTTGCCTTCCTATGACACCGGGAGAAGTAGATGGAGGGAAGAGGACCAGATGAAGGGAGAAGCAGGCTGCCAGAGCCCCTCTTTCTCTCTAGGACCCCTAGGTACCCTTGGAAGACAGGACTCTGGAGCGAAGTGAGCGCAAAGCCAGGGATGCTGAGGAAAGCCCAAATGGAGTGGGCTCCCGCCAGAATCTCAGCCCTCCAGCCTGCCTTCCATGCGAACGTGCGCTCATGCCTCAAATCGGCATGAGCAAGACGAGGGAGACCACCCTGCGAGCACGTACTCACTGCAAACTTCAGCTGTGAAGTGGGCAGCGTGTCTCGGCACAGTACACGGAGCGCAGCTGTCCAGTGCCCGGGCAGGGCAGCACCCGGGCCCGGTGTCGGAGCTCGGTAGGAGCCACCAGAGGTGCACGCAGGGTGCCCTGGGGAGAAAGAGTGAGCTCCCTGTTGCTGGAGGGGAGCAAACAGAGTCTGGAAAGCCACTCATTAGGCATTTGCATCTCATCATGAGACCTCTGGGTCCCTGCCAGACGCTGCTTCCTTTCTAATCTCAGTCTGCTATACTCAAAGAATTCGATCTACAAGCTGCATCCGTAACATGATGGTCTTTAAGAGAATCCCATGACTCCTATCAAAGCCGTGATATATTTTTTTGTGCAAATTAATCCTAGTTTTCTCAGCTCTCTCAGGCCTTTTTAAATAAATACTCGGCATTTTGCTCATGCTGTGCCTTCTGCAGAGAATGCTTTGGTCCACTTTCTGCACGTGGCAAACTCCTACTCATACTTTCCAACCCTGGTGCCCTGAAGCTAGGAACTTCGCTTTCTCCCCTTTTGCCTTCATAGGCTCCCGGGCTGTGCCCTAAGGGTTCTCCGGCCCTTCTGGGGGACCTGCCCCTCCTAGGCTGGACGTCCTCAGCTTGCTACTGAGGCCCCCATCTCCCGCTGCATGGCCTCCCTGGGGTGTAACCGGTGTCTCCTGGGGATACTGATGTAGCACGGGCCCGCGTCGCCTAACTTGCTGTCCTTCCCCTCATGTCCTTTGTCCAAATTTCCCGGTCAGGGAAGTGTTTTAAACACAGCCCTTCTCTTCTAGGTTCTTCTCCACAGTGGCAAGTTCCCCAAAGAAGAGGCTGGATTTAGCCCCATCTGCCGGACAAAGCCCCAGAGGACCGAGTCAGGACACTGGGGTGCCAGCTCGGGTGCAGACCCCGTGTGACTACCCCACTCTGGGGCTGAATGTCCCCACCTGGGAAAAGGGGCTATCAGGAGAGGAAGGAGGGCCCCCTGTTTCTGAGTTACCCTGTCCTGGCAATTTGTTAATGAAAAGACCATGAATAACTTGGTTCCATTACTTGCACATCGGAATCCCTTGGTTCCCAGAACCGCCGGTTCTCAGCTGTTTATCCAAAGGCACCGCCTCGAAGCTCTGAGACGGTACCAATCTCCAGGCAAGAAGTAAAACGGTAGAAACCACAGATGATGTCCCTGCGCCAGCTGAGGCGGGACTGGTGGTCGTTGCTAAAGCCTGGACAGCAGTTTGCCTCGTTTGAAAGCCTTCCAGAAATCTTCCGAGCCACCACACCCTCCTCCGGCGAGCCAGGTCTGAATGACTCCCGCTCTGACTTCTCCGGCTGCGTCTTCTGCAGGGCTCTCCTGCGCCCCTTGGCCCTTTATCAACCTGACTGACTCTCCTCCCACCTCTAGCGGCTCTATGCGCTCCCAGAGCCTCCGCACGGCTGGGTGCGCAGGAGGCTCTCAGGAGACAGTTTTTAATTTGACTCACGTTTTGACTCACACTCCAAATTTGCGGACCATGACTTATGCTCACGTACATTTGGATATTAGGTTGAGCTGAAGACACACCCAAGTTTGCCTGTGTCCTCTAATAATATTGGCAGTAATATTTTACACATATTTGTGGTGCCTTGCATTCTTAAAGATCTCTCTCACTCTCTCTCTCTCTCCCTCTTCCCCCACCATCTCTCTCTTTCCGTATAACACTGTTAGACAGACAAGGCCAACAATGACATCCTTATTCAACAGAGGACACAGCAGCCACCCAGTGACAAGGTTCTTAAGGAGGGGGCAGAGATTGGAGCCAGACCTGGCCTGCATGACCCCCGGCTGAGTGCACTCTCTCCGGAAAGGGTTCCTCAGTCTCACGAGGGCCACCCTCCCTAAGGGGAGACCTGTACGCCGAGGGTGGAGGATGGCAGGGAAGCACGAGGGGCCTGCAGAGCGGGGTGAGGACTTGAGCAGGTGCTTCAGACCAGTGCATGGCGTTAGAAGCGACAAGTGATGCCCCGTGGGCAGGCATGCGGGGTGCAGCCCAGGAAGCCGAGAAGCCAAGACCCAAGCACCAAGGAGCCCTGCAGGGCTTGAGGAGCAGCAGACAGGTGGGGACGGGACCCCTGCAGCCACCGTCAGAGGAAAGGGAGCACTGCCCTCCCTTCAGGACTCGGGGAGGGACCCATGGTGCCTGAATCCTCAAAGAAAGCTGATCCCTGAGCCTCCGGGCTGTGCGCAGGACCAGAGGAAGAGCCTTCCCAACAGCGATGCCCACCTCTGTCCATCTGTCCCACTGCCAAGGTGTTTCTATGGACTGTGGCTTTTCTGGTGTTAGCAAAATGGGAAGTTTACCAGAGGAGTGGCTTCTGTGAAATCCATCAGGAGATCGCCTGGCTCCAAGGTAAAGGCACCTCCGTGGTCAGAGGGACTCTAGGAAGGCAGACAGAAATATCGCAGTTAGTGACAGTTTTGGACTGACGGTGGAATGCCACCGGAAAACACAGAGGTTCCCTAACCTCTCTCTTCCCACCTTTCTAATAGTGAACTCATGATCAGGCCAACCCGCCCATGCAGTTCCCTCACTGGGCAATTGTACAAAATATGTGAAGACCAAACTCTCAATTTTTTTTCCCCTGAAATCTTGATAAGTAGAAGCAGGGTGTAAGGGTGGGTAGCTGTCTTTAATTTGAAGCTGCAAACAGTGTTTCTGAAATGCTCTGAGTGCTCTGTGACTGGTCTTTTCGGGGGAAAACACTTGGAGAGTCCTTTGCGCATGTGGAGAGAGCAAAGGCGCCCGCCTGGACCAAGAGGGTCAAGGCCCCCAGGAACTACACCCACCTGCGCGATAATGAAGGCGATCTGGACAGAGGGAGAGGGCTGCCTCTGAGAATCATGTTTGTTTCTGGAGAAATTTTTTTCTCTGGTCCTCGGGTCTCAGCACCATGGGGTGCCTTGAGGCCCTTTGTGGGGGGAGGGAGGGAAGTCTTGTCAGCTTGGCACCAGCAGGACTTTCAGGACAGAGGCGGCCAGGAGAGGGAGCCCTGTGGCCTCTGGCAGGATGTCGCCACCTGCATGCCCACAGAACTCCCTTCTGTTTTGTACATGTTTTCACTTGGTTTCGATCGTGGGGCGGGGTACATGACAGGAGCCCGTGTCCACACGAGGGACAAAGCAGTACAAGGGACTCCACGCAGCAGAGGGGAAGCCAACTCGAGGGACCAGGAGGTGGCCTATAGAAAAGCAGGAGCTTCCGTCTGGGCCAGTCTCTGGCCGAGGGGGCCAGCCAGGAACACGAAAGCATTCCCAGGGCCCTGGGGCAGGACCCGGTGGAAGACGGGTGTTGGTCACCCAGGATGTGGGCCTGGGCAATGGCACCGGGGCGTTACCAGGACTTGTCATCCTGAAGCCGCAGAAGCCTCCCGCATCCAGTTTGTCTGGTTTGCGAAAGCACTTTAACCCCCACTGGACCTGAAGCCAGCCCAGGAGGTGGGCAGGGTGGCAGACACTATTCCCATTCTTAGGAGGAGGAAACTGAGGCTGGGAGAAGCACGGGCTGCCGAGCAACCGCTCATGTTGGGTGGGAGGAAGGAGCAGCTGGGAACAGAGTCTGGGCCTCGGGTCTTGCCGCCAGCCCCACTCCCCCACTCCTCCCCGCGCCCGCCCCGTGCCCCAGTGGGGTCCACGGACCAGGCCACCTTTGTCTCAGCATCTACTTGGAGAGCAATAGGTTCAACTGCGTCTGGGCCAGATGCTGCAGAGTGAGCACAGCTAAGTGTCACTCAAAGGAAACCAAGAGAAGAGTCTTGTGTGAGGCCTTTGTCACAGCCCATTCATGTGGCTGGCAATTTCCTGAAATTTCAAACTATGAAATAGAATACTATTTCCCATTGTCACACTATTTCCACCAGCTATCCAATATAAGGATTGGGATGGGGACACTTCTACATTTTACTCCTCCAAAGGCCCCGTTATGGGAGGAAAGCCCATTTCTCACGTTCTGTCTTTACAGTGATTAGTCTGTATAGCGGATGACACTCTGAAATCAAAACTGCCTTTCAAAATCTCTTTAATTTCCCTTAAAGTACAGTGTGCATGGTTTTATATTACACTACTTGTCTCTCACAGATACTTAGCCTCTCTCCTGGGGACAGTTATAGCAAAAAACATGCTTTATTGGTCATTATGTTGTTTTACAAGTGCAAGTCTCCTACAGCAGTTGATTATGCAAAATTTAAATACACAATGGAATACTATGCAGCAGAAAGAAGGAATTCCTACCCTTCGTGACCGTATGGCGGAACCGGAGAGCATTATGCTAAGCGAAATAAGCCAGGCAGTGCAAGACAAATACCATAGGATCTCACCTGTAAGTGGAACCTAATCAACAAAGCAGACAAGCCAGCAAAATAGAACCAGACACATAAAGAACAAACTGATAGTGACCGGAGGGAAGGTGAGGGGGGATAGCAGGGGAAAGAAGGGGAAGAGTGAAGTCAAGTTCATGTATAAAGGACCCACGGACAAAGACAATGGGGCGGGGGGAGGACTGAATGTGGAAGGTGCGGGGCAGGTACGGCAGGGGAGAGTAACGGGGGGAAAGTGGGGACAACTGTAATTGAACAACAATAAACATTTTTTAGATGCACACAGATGCCACACCCTTAATTTCTACCCAAGGCCCAGCAAGTGCAGCTACTCCTCAGGGTTTTTTGTCCCCCTACCTTGGCCCCTGGGGACAGCTGGCTCTTGCCTTCTGAATTCTGAGGCGAGCTGAGTTTGTGGACCTTAGGGGATGCCAGTGGTGCTGGGACTTGCGTGGTGGCAGCCGTGGTGGCGGCGGTGGCCGGTGTGGTGGTCACGGTCACGCCCACTGCCTCGGCCAGTTCTGGAGGGAGGTCGTCTTCATCACTGCGGTTGCTAAAAGCACATGAAGCTCTGCTCATTACAATAATAAACAGGCTGTGGGGAGTGGGCGGAGGGCAGAGGGGCGGGGCAGCCAGGGGCAGGTGGGGGGGGGTTCCCCCAGAGAGAGAGAGGCCCCGCTTGCAGCACCCCATACATTGACATTTTTGCCAAAGCAAATTTGGGCTGGATTTTCTGTCACTTGCTAAGGGAGTAAAAGAATTTTTTTAATGGAAGGGTTTATCTAACATAATATTTATTATTGTATCCATTTGTAAGTGTGCGATTCAGCGGCATAAACGTATTTACAGCGTTGTGTAGTCATCACCACTGTCTATGTTCAAAACGTTTTCATCATCCCCAGCGGTAATGGTACCCACGGAACGACAGCTCTCCGTTGCTCTCTCCCCGCAGCCCGTGGTAGCATCTGTCCTGCTTTCTGTCCGGGTGAATTTGACTACTCTAGGGCCCTCCGTGAAGTGAAATCATACCATACGTGTCCTTCTGTAGGTGGCTTATTTTACGCACCACAATGTTTTCACGGTCCACCCGTGTCGTAGCACATGACAAAATTCATTCTCTTTATGGCTGACTGACATTCCATTGTATAGAATATTTTGTTTATCCGTTAACCTGTTGATGGACTGAGGTTGTTTCCACCTTTTGGCCATTATAAATAGTGTTGCTATGAACATGGGCGCACACATATCTGTTCCAGTCCCCGTTTTTAATTCTTTTGGATTGAAATTCCACTAAGGAGGGAATATTGCGGGGTCATAGGGTAGTTCTACGTTTAACTTTATGAAGAACCACCAAACCAGGGGATATTACTTTAAGTGTCCTCCCTGAGGGGGGTAAATGCAAGGCTTGTTGGGACCCACTGCTCTGCATGAAGGATGTAAAAACCCTTTTGTGGCCTAATAGCTCCTGTCCCTTTGGTGTGATACACTCGTCACAGGGGAGCAGTTGAGCACCTTTGTTTTGGGGCCAAGTAGCTCTGGTCTTAGAATCTCCTTGATGAAATGGGAGGATAGAGACAGAAAAGGACACTAGAGGGGAAGTCACCATGAAGGTTAGAGAAGTCTGAGTTGGCACTCTCATCTCCAAGGCTTGGACTTGTGGGGAAGGTTCGACCTCCCAAAGTGTATGTCAAGGCTAGAAGGCCTTCGGATTTGCTCCCCCGGGCACAGGACAGAACAGCAGCACCCACGCCCCATTCTCAGTATGCACAGTATTTTCTCCAGCGTATCAAAATGAATGCAAGCCTCTAGCCTCTAATGCCAGCCAGACCGCTGCCTGCGCCGTAAAAGGCTAGCTCAGCAGGCCCGGGGTGCTCAAAGCAAACGCTGCACATTCCAAATGAACCACTGGTCATAGACAGCTCCTGGGAAGACTTCTGGGCCCCTGGACTATCCTGCCTGATAAGAGCATCTTTGTGTACCTGAGAGCTTAAGCCACGCCAGATTGTCCACACAATCAGCGTGATTTATGGAGAACACCTGTTTTTGTACGAATGCCTGGGGTTTTGGGTCACACTGGATCAGTCTGACCTTGGGGCGGGAGGGGGGGTGACTGGAGACTGAGTAGCTAAGGTCAGTCACAGGAGTGTTCCATGCCTACATGACTGACCCCCAATAAAAGCTCTGGCTGCCAAGTCTCGAGTGAGCTTCTCTGGTTGGTAATACTTCACGTACGTTGACACGTACTGCTGCTTGGAGAGCTAGGTGCTGTCCCTGCAGCCCCTCTAGCGGAGGGCAACAGGCAGATTGTGCCCGTCTTCCTGGGCTCCACTCTATGCGCCTCCTTCCTTTGCCGTGTGGTCTGCAACCTTTCTCTCTAATACACCCTGACTGTGAATGGAGCAGCTGTTCTGAATTCTGTGCGTCCTCTAGCAAATTGTCAGACGTGAGAGTCGTCTTGGCGACCCTGACACACTTCCCCTCAGGGTTTCCGTGTGGCATTTCTGGAGCCACTCTGGCACAAGGCGTATGTTTTAGAATCACCGCTGAGCGAAACAGTGTAGGCGAAAGGCCGTGGCCAGTGGGCGCCTGTGTGGCCCGTGTGGAGTCCCTCATGGCGGCCTCACCACAGCGGTGGGCCTCATGAGAAACATGCGGCTCGGGGACACAGCTGCAGTGGGGGTGGGACAGGCTGAGGAGGGCCCTGGGGGACCTGAGGTCATTCTGTGAACAGAGAAGCCTCAGGGGGAGGATTCAGGGCTTTGTTACCAAAGAAGGAGAACAAGCAGGGTTTGAACAGTTAGTGGAAAGATTAATAAGACACCAGGAAGTTGGATTCATGCTGATGAACTAAATCAGATCAGTTACATTAATAGCCTATTTAATTTTCACAACACCCTGTATTATGGTTTCCATTTTTAAAGAGGACAATGATATGCATTGACTCTTTGTGAAATTACTCACCCAAGGTCACACAGCTATTTGGGTGGAAGAGTGGGATTAAATGTTCTTTTTACCTCATTAAAAAAAAATTGTAACCTGAAGAGCATAATGTTATTTAGTTTTACATTAAAAAAGCTATTTTAAAAATAGGTCATCTTTCACAGCAGGAGTCAACTGATTCTGTCTAAAATGGAAAAAGATTCTAAATTCTTAATGTTTTATTTTGTCTTAACTTAGATCTTATGGCAAAGAAACATATATCTAAAATTTATCAAGTCTTTCAATTTTACCACAGCTTTGAGGTAAATTCATGAAACAGCATTTTAATACGTAAAAGTTTATGTGTAGCACTATCATTTTTATTCAAAATGCTATTTTAACAATATATATGCACAGAAAAATGTCTAAAGTAAGTCATCAAATGGGAACACTGTTTATCTTTGAGGGTGTGATTCTGGAGAATTGGCTACTTCTCTCTTTGGACTTTTCTGTCTTGCTTGAACTTTTTTAGACTTACATTACGTTTAAAGAAAGAGTAAAACTATACTTCTGGAAAAGTAAAGCAGCTCGTCATTCTCTAAACACACTAGGTTTACAAAGGGTTTTCTTAAAGGAGGCAATGTGGCAGAGTTGGTTAAATTTCCTTTTCTTCCAGGCCAGGTAGTAGTCATTGTTTCCAACACGATTACACATCCTGAATGGGTGAGAGTACCATTTTGAATTTCGAAATGTAAAAGGAAAGGCTAATCCTGCCAGCTTTACCCTCAGGGGAGCAGACTTTTCAAGGTTTAATTTGTCCCCCAGGGAGCATCAGGACTGTAATTATTTGACTCTTACTTGTTTGCGCTTTCTTAAGAAAGACAGCTGCTTATACTGTCCAGAAGTTTCTCTTACGGTTAATGAGGTGGGATGTGTTTGCCCTTAAAGCCTCTCGCTCTTCTTCGCACAAAGTGGCAGGGCTGACACGGCTGGTTCAGAGCTGGATCCAGGGTTATGCTCCCTGTCCTACACTTTGCACTCTGGGGACCCTTAAACTTGACCTTCTCTCAGAAGCTTCCAGGTCCTTGAGAAGAAAGGAAGGGGAGCTACTTTATCCTAGGGCCATGTCACTGGCTAGGAGCTTTATGCACTGAGCTCAGGTAAACCCTCACAAAATTCCTCAGAGGTAGGAATCGCCTCACTCATTTTACAGATGAAGAAAGAGAAATTTGTGGACTAATTTCCCCCAAGAGCTTCCAGTGGTAAACTAACCAGGGCTCCGCCAGGAGACTTTCTCACCCCCGAGGCCCACAGCTTTGCACTGCACCCTAAGACCCTCCTGCATGCAGCGCATTGACCAATTATCCATGCACGCAGGATGCCACAGCCGAGGGCAAGGACTGAAAAATGCCACAGTGATCAGTACTGCTAACTATTACAAACACCACTGCCGCCCTCACGATAGCATTTACCTATCTTCTTTGGATTACAATTATTTGCGATGTCTTTCCTTCTAATAAATAGTGAGTCCTCAGATGGGAAGTGGCAGTCATTTTGTTCTTCCCCCATGGTGCCTAAAATGGCTCTGTGCACATGGTAGGTAGCCCAGAAACTTTGGTTAAGCTGAACGGAACTGGACGTTGGTGGTTCTGGGACACTTTGGGAGGTGGCTTGTATTGTTCAGTGATGAGCCATGAAGGCAGCTTCTGATAAGACTCCCCATGATACACGTTCCTGGTATTCCCACCCCGGTGGAAGTCCCTCCCTTTGAGAGTGGGCTGGCCCTAGGGAGGTGCTCCCAATGAATAATGACGGGATGTCATTTCTGTGATTAGGCGAGAGGAGACTGTGATGTTTGCCTTGCAGGCACTCTCTTTAGTTCTTCTTGTGTGCTTTCTCTCCTGGAGAAAGCTAGAGAGGCCCACATCGCTTAGGGACTGAGGGCAACCTCCAGCCACCAGCCAGCAAGGAACTGAAGCCGTCAGTCCAACTGCCCTCGAGGAACTGAATCCTGTCCCAAACCACATGAATGGGTCTTCAGATGAGACGGCAGCCCTTGCCAAGACCTTGAATGCAGCCTTGTGAGAGACCTTGACACAGAAGACCCAGCCAAGCCGTGCCTGGACTCCCAACCCACAGAAACTGTGAGATAATAAACGTGGATTGTTTTCGTGAAGCCACTAAGTTTTGCAGTAATTTGTTCACGGCATTTCATGATGCATATAGATGCCAACCATGTAGTCTTTTCAGGGAGAAAGGTCTGGTCTTGTTAGGAACTGAATTGGAAATAAACTGTATTTTGGGGATGGCCCTTTGGGAATGATGTGAAGGGCTAAGAAGCGTTCATAACTGGACATTTAGCATCACCTTTGTTGTTATAATTGAAAAACCTGCTGTAAGAACTCACAAGCTGTATTGTCTTGTTAACTTCCTCACTCGGGGAGGCTTGATTTCCGGCTTTTCCACTGTTGGTTGGGTCGTTTCCACACGAATAGGAATAGGACTTCTAGAAGACATACCAAAAAGCAGAACAACATGGTTGCCAGAGAAGAGGGGGTTGGGGGCATGGGTGAAAAAGGAGACAGGGATTAAGAGGGTACAAACCTTCAGTTATAAAATAAATCATAGGGATGTGATGTACACCATAAGTAACAGAGTCAATAAAATCATAACAACTTTGTACAGTGACAGATGGTTATTAGACCTAGCATGGCAATCACTTAATAAGATATATAAATGTCAGATCACTATGTTGTACACCTGTAACTAATAAAATATTGTATGTAAACTATAATTTTTAAATAAATAAAGTAAAACAAAACAGAATAATCCCAACGGAAATGTTTATGGTGGTGTTTTGGCTGTAGGGGGACTGCTTTCTGAGTTAACTTATACCTTGATAAAAACGATAGTCAAGATAACCATTTTTTCTTTTCTCCACTCTACTTACTAAATGTAATTTGTAAAAAATATCAGAGAAAATCCAAAAAAAGAAAATAGGCATAGGAAAGAAAATACAGCAGGCAAGAGCTGAATGTAATTGGGGTACCAGATAAAATTTCCCTGCCAAAAACACCCTGCCAGTATCAGGGTTTGATTCATTACCAGGTTTTACTACTAAAATGGGTAAAGAGATACTTGTGGATAGCCAATTTTTAATTCCAAGCAATCTTGTAGCCATGTTATTTTAAACGTACTCCCAAAGATATATATATATATATATATAAAGGTAAAGAACCATAGAGTAGTTAATGTGAAAAAATGCATAATCAGAAGACCTTTAAGACTTGCTCTAAAACATTTTCAGTCAATGCATATGTGAAAATGTTAAAAATTAAATAGCACTTTTACATTTCCTCAAGAAAATATGCCAGATAACGAGTGGGCCCTACTAAAAACAGTAATTTTAAGGAAAAGGTTTCACACATTTTTGTAGTGGTCATGACTGCTTTCATTTCAAAACTTTCAAAAATTACCTCCTGAGACCAAAGGACATCAAAATAAGTTAAGGTTCTCAGAACGGGACCTCTGGCAAGTTAACACTTCTGGGCATCTGTTTCTCTTCTACTCAGTGCCTAATACAGTGATAGTTATGTGGCCCATGCCTAATGAATGTTTGTTGAATAAATGAATGAGCAAATAAGGGATTAGAGTCAGTGTGTTCTGGGTTCATGATTTTGTCAAGCTGGAACCCCTACCTCAATTGAACATAGTCTTGGAAGAATTCATAGTCTACTAGGGGAGCACATGACTTTGCTTGTGTGGAGTGGTTGGCATCTGGAGAGCTTCATGGAGGAGTTTGTACTTAAGCAGATGGAGGGAAGACTTCCCAGGTGGGAGACAGAGTGGAGACGTGAACTTACTGATGGGTAAGATCTCAGTGGAATGGCAGGGGCCTAAGAAGAGGGAAAACAAGGGCCAGGTCCTGAGGTGTTTACACCAAAAGCAGTAGCAGTCACTAAAAGTTTCAGGCAAAGGACTGGCAAGGCCAGACTTGCATTTAAGAAAGGCCCTTAGAGCAACCAAGAGGATGCTGGAGAAGGAGTCCAGCTGGGAGAATCTTGGAAGACTGGAGCAGTAGTTATCCAGGATGAGAAATGGTGAGGGCTCAGGGTAGGCTGCAGTTGCGACCTTGAAGAGGAGAGGATGGATGTGGGAAATAACATGAGGTCAAATTGGCAGAATTTGGTGACCAATTGGATGGAGGGTGGGGGTAGGAGAAAGTCAAGGACTCCCCCTGTGTCAAGTCTGGATAATAAATAGGTAATAATGCCATAATGAAGATTGGAGACTAGGTGAAGAGATTGTAGGATAGGGTGGAAAGAGATGAATTAGGGCCTTTAAAAATCCAGGAGGTAGTGGGGTCTGTGTCTCTGGAGTAAGAAAAATTTATACCAAGAATATGGACTGGGCAATATAAGATGCATCGAGCAGTATTAGTTTTTTGTTTTTAGCATCAAGTATAAGAATTCCCCAGGGCAGAATTTCCTAGATCACCTGGGGTGCTTATTGAAACTATAGTTCCTATTGCCACCACTTCTCCCCAACCAAAGGATCTGAAAATTCTGGAATAGGACCAAAAAATCAGTTTGTTTAAGAGTCTTTGCTTTTAACAAGAGACTGATGCAGCGATCCCTGGACTCATTTTAGGAATCTATCATAGGAAGACCATGCCAGCATTAGTAGACCACCCAGGTGTCGGGGGGCTCCCATGATCTATAGGTTATTACTCTCTTGGGTTGGGTAGGGACAAGTTTCTGCTCTTCATGAGATCAGGAGAGAAAGGCTTTCCTCTGGGTTGGGGTTGGTGGTGGTCAGGAAGCGTGGGAGAACATTTGTGGTTCTAGTATTGTCAAGGAGCTCAGTAGGAGGAGCACGTCAATGGACCAAGGGAAGGGGGATGGGCCGAGCTGGGACAGCGAGCAGAAGCCAGGTCAGAAAGAGCCTCCCATGCTCTGTTAGAGTTTGGATTGCAGCCTGAGAGCAAAGGGGAGTCTTTAAAGGACTTTAAGCAGGGGAACAACAAGGTCAGGCCTATACAATTGAGAAGTAACTTAAAGTGATTTCTTTGCTAGCACAGCAATGTTAAAACTGAGAAAAGGCGTTTTTGAAGCTGAAAGGAAGTTGTGGAAGCCAGTCCTTTTCTGTCTCTTCAGAGGCCCATTCTCCCAGCTTTCTTCTTCCTCTCAGGTTTTATGAGCAAAACCCTCATGCATCATGTTTTGAGGATCATGTTGATGATACAGAGAATATTGTTTCCCCATTCAAACAAGAAGCAACAGACCTTACATTAGCGTCCTGAAGACTGGATTTCTTATTGATATTTACAAACGTTGATTCCTCTTTTGCAACCTGTGAAAGAAAACAGGCAGTTTTGTCAAAACTGAATATCTTGGCATGCAAAACTGTTCTCAAGTCTCCTACATTCAAAAGGTTATAGAAATGTGAAGGTGGGTAAAGGAGGTAGTTATCAAGCACTCAGTCAATGACAAATATTCTCTGGTGTTTATGTAAGTTAACACACACAAAAAAATGTTTTCTTGAGTCATTCCCCATCAGGTGGGTTAACACTTCACCATTCAAAAGCAATCAATGCTTGCCTTCATACTTTCATTGAGCACCTGCTACGTGCCAGCTCATGCTTGAATGAGAAGAAGATGGTATGGGAAAAGCCAAACCCACAGTTTAACCCCCCACCTCACCTATTAGATCAGGAATAATAACCAACTCTCACACAGCACTCACCTATTAGATCAGGAATAATAACCAACTCTCACACAGCACTTACAGTTCAGAATCTGCCCTTTCACTTAAGTGTAACAGCCTGGGAGGAACTGTGTCATATGATTTTGATAGAAGCCTGTCCTCCTCCCTCTGGTGAGTCCCACAAAGAACGGTGGGGGAGGAAAGGACACCCACTCAGCCAGCCAGGCTGGCTGAACGCATACCGGAAGGCAATGGGAGATGCAGCCATCTGTGGCCCTTGTACCCGTCACAATGTACAGAGCTGGCCCCTTCGCTTACCCGATTAATAACTGTACCCCAGCTAATAACTCTTTATATTAAAATCTCTCTTCATATAATACATGTGGTTCCTGTCTCCTGGCAGATCCTGACCGACATCCTAGAGGTACCTCTTTCTTCTCTGTAGCCCAGAGGATATCCTGCTGGGTGAAATCAAAGGAACGCATGTGCTCCACACACCTGGGCACTCACTCGGGAAGCATTCTCCAGCTGGGCTTTCAAAATGTTACACTTCACATGATCAGCCACGGGGGAAGGCAAGAGTGGGGTCTGAAGAGTCTTCTCAGAAACTTTTTTTTCTTCAGCCTGTGACAAGCCAAAATAGAACAGATTGGAAGCAAAGAAAAAGGAAAGCATGCACTTTAACCTTTCCTTTAATCAAACTTGCAAATAACACAGACTTAAACATATAGACAGGTCCCTCATCAAATCCACATACTTATATCCGTGCTTTTACTATTTGCAAAGGATTCACAAGCACCGCCCTTCATTCTCATGTGAAATAGAGAGAGGATGCATTAGAAAGCCCATGAGCCAGAAGATGGGGTGAAGGTTCAAAGAGAAGAGGCTCATTCAGAGCCACGTGGCTACATCCAGAGGCAGATCCAGGACCCAAGCTTTGAGTTTCCGGTACCCTAGTGCAGTGCTATTTCCCCCATGACTGCTACTTCTTACCTATAAAGATTCAATTCTGTGACTTGTTGGGTCAAGGGAAAGAGTAGAAGATATTCGTTAGTGTGTTTACAGTAAATCTTGATGAAAAATGTGATTCTCAATGAGAAATTTGTATCCATGCTACCTCATTGTAGAGTGTCTCAGACAGTCACAATTTACTGCTTTTGCCATTTACCATGTGGTAACTGAACATGCACCTGTAATTCACATGATCCAGTTAAGGTGGATTACCTTGGAGCTACCTATTTTAATTGTGTCCTAAGCAATAATATCTGAAATCATAGGCTTAGTGACTATTATTTTTATTATGATATACATTATGGTAGTTACATAACTATTAAAAATACTCATCTATGTATATAACCTGAAATCATCTTGGATGGTATACACATCACACTCAGGGAAATAATGTCTCATTGTTAATCATGCCTATTGTGGTCATTGCATAGTCCATTGGCTCATAGCGTGTGCTCAATAAACACCCAATGAAGATTATAATGATAGACAGTTATTTTTAGAAGAGATGTATGTATTTATTTATGTATGTATTTTATTTATTTAAATACTTCCCCAAGGGTAGCTTATTGATTTTAGAGAGTGAGAAACGGAGGGAGGGAGGGAAGGGAGGAGAGAGAGAGACGGAGAGAGAGAGAGAGAGAGAAAATCATCAGTCGGTTGCCTCCCACCCCGATTGAGGATCAGACCTGCAACTTAGGTATGTGCCCTGATGGGGGAGCAAACCTGCAACCATTCGGTGCATGGGACAACGCTCCAGCCAACTGAGCCACCTGGCCAGGGCTAGAAGAGATGTATTTAATATAAAAGATTCAAGGCAATGTGACTGCTAAGAGTCAATTTAGTGATATCAGGACTTAATGCAGCATGTTAGCCACAATGTACCAGGGCAAGAACAAAATGACCTGAAGGTCTAAAATTCTGCAAGTCCCAAAATTAATCTCGTTCACTCATTTCAAAGTCCTGCGGAGCACACTGGTCTACATTGCAGGAGCATTATGAAAGCCCTAGAGGAATTATCGGGCAATTGGCTGGTTGACATCATTTAATAAAGAAAAGAGGGCATAGAATACAGCGTCTCAGTGGGACCTCCAAATGCATAGGGGAGCATTTGGTAGACTAAGCAGAACTCAGCAATTTCATGCAACAGCAAGATAAGCAGGGACAGACCTGGATTTGAATCTCAGCTCTTTCCCTTCCTGGCATGATAAAAAAACAAGGTGTCGATGAAGATGATGACAAAAAGAAATATAATGCCAGTAGCTCACATTTATGAGACCTTACTATGGGCAAGGAACTGACTAAGCATTTCCTTCGTACGTCTTATTGAATCTTCTCAATCAAGCATTCCATTAGGAGGTAGATACTATCACTATCCCCATTTTATGGATAAGAACAAAGCACAGACACAGTAAGTCACTTGCCCAAGGTCATATAGGAAGTGTAAAGAAGAGCCAAGGTTCACACCCAGGCCTGTGACTCCAAAGCTAGACACCTGACCACTCAGCTGCACTGGTTCCCCTTAACATTTCTGAGTCTCAGTTTCCGTCTTCATAAGATTATGATGATGATCAAATGAGAAAATTGGAGATAAATGACACTTAGACTTTTTGGTTAGAAAGAAAATATATTTTTTAAAAAAAAGAAAAAGAACATCAGACATAAGGGCACTAATGATCCTAAGCCATCAAGTTGGGTACAGAGAAAAATGACTCATTTGACTGGAATCATCATCCTGAGAGATTTAGAAGTTTCCAAAAAGTAAACAAGTAACTTATTTGTTCTGAAAGATGAGGTTTACAGTACATCTTTAGGATAATTTACCATGTATTTCTAAACCCTGTTAGATTAACTGTTTACTACCAGAATGGGTATTTTCCCTGGTGTGTAAAGAGGTAATTTTAAGATTAGATTTACTTTGGTGAATGATATGCTGGGATATAGGAATTAAATTGGTTCCAAAGCCCATTTGAGGTTTTTGACAATTGCTAAAGGGGATATAGTTACACTCACAGTCATGACCGAAGATCTACTTTTCAAAAACCGAATGCGGCTCAATTAAGAAAAGATTGAGAATTCAGCATTGATATTCCCCTTGAATTTAGTAACTCTAATCTGCTTTTAGACATAAAATTCAAGCTGGCTTGCTCTTGTTTGATCTGGGTAAAATGAGAGCTACTGTTCAGCTCTCTGATTTGGTCAATATAAATTTTGGAAAATTTGAGTATCATGTGAACGTGTTTGCATAAAAGCCATCCTTAGGGGAGATGAGCATCTAGATTACAATTAGACCACAATTCCGGCCAGAGGATGCCTCTGAGCATGTCAAGCTTTCTCTTCTGTATGACCATAGCTTATATTTTACATTCAAGTTGAATTGTGAAAAGATGCTTCAAAGCCTACTCATGAATGACACTTGGGCATCATTGGAAATGGTCCATTTATTTGGGGATGTTAGTGGGGATAGAGAAATGATCAAATGCACTTTTAAATTGTTGACACAAATTGTTTACACAGTTGAAATCTGATGAGATTTAAATTCTTGTGATAATTTTGGGTACTACTTTGGAACTGGGAAATGACAATGTCTTCTTATCATTAAATCAAGACCAAGTGCTTAAAAGAATCAGTAGATTCTTGCTCCTTGGGGCTGGAAAAAACCTTAAGGGTCATCGAAGCCATTGGTCCCAATTGTGGTATCAAGATACGTTATGAAGTCTATTGCAAGGAATATTTTATTAATGATAAAGAATTATAGTGTGAAGTAATATACTTTGTTTATGTGCTAGGACAAAGTCAAGGTTATCTGACATCACTCTAGCCTAATGCTTACTGATGCATTTCTTCAAGTAGAAGAGAGAGGAGGGACATTACAGTTTAAGCTCCAGGGAAATGCTTAATAACTCACGTCTCTCTCAGCTTTGCCTTAACCCAGAGCAAGCCCCTGTTGTCCATATCTCACCAATACTCATGGCGACTACAAATTACATGTAGCTTCTGAGTCCTCTGATATTATATGCTGTACTTCCTCACAAAATGTGTTTGGATTCTGTCAGACTCTGGGTAAAGCTCTGTTGAAGCACTGATTGTGTTTATTGCATTAGAGAAGTTGAAAACCAAGAGACCGAGAAAGACAAATCCAGGGTGCACATGATGTGTTGGATTAACTCCCCCTGTGCAAGGTATGAGTCTGCTCAACAAAGAGATGTTGATTGAATGAATAAGCTCCATTCTGCAGGGGGAATTCTTTCCAATTGGCCCTCAGGGAGGGTAGGCTAAAAGAAAAGTTGGTGACGGGGCTTTGAAGTTGGGGTCCCACTGAGGATGGAAGGGTTTTCAGCAGGGGAGAGGAGTACAAGGGAATGAGGGTCTTCTGAGAAGCTCTGGAAGTTGACTGTGGGCTAGAGGGTGGAGGAACAGCCCAGGTGGGAGGTATAACATTCCCATGGCCACCAGCAAAGGTAAGGAGGCAGAGTTTCTCAGGCCAGGTATTCCAAATTCCTCCTATTCCCTTATAAAAGAGCAAAGCTAAGCATTAGAGTGGGAGAAATGACCGAGGAGTGAAAAAGACTATTCCTTTGGGGGTTTTAAATATTAAAAATATGTTTACAACAGCGGCTCTCAACCAGGGGTGATTTTGCCTTTCTGGGGACATTTGGCACTTTCTGTAGACAATTTAGTTTTCACACCTGGATGGGGGTGGTATTGGCATCTGCTGGGTCAAGGCCAGGGAGGCTGCAAACATCCTACGGTACACAGGACAGCCTCCCACAACAAAGAATTATTAGCCCACGATGTCACCAGTACTGAAATTGAGAGACCTGGACTAGAAAATGAAGAACCATGTTTGAGTACAAAAGGCACCAGACCAGGCGTCAGGGGTGCGTGGATTCAGCCCCCACTGTGTGACCTGGAGAAAGTAATTTCCCTTCCTCTGGTCTGATGTTGAGAAGGTTGGACTAAATGGTAGATCAAATGTGGCACCAACATTCTATGGTTCTAAGATAAAATTGGACTTTTATGAGGCTGTCCATTTGGATAAGAAAAGGCCTAGCCAAAAGAGAGCCTGGCCTCTGCCCCGTCCCTCCCTCCCTCCTTCCATCCTCTTCTTCCTTCCATCAGCAAATCGTTGCTGAACATCAGGCAGAAAGAGATAGGAAGTGCTACAGACTAAACTGTGCCCACCCCACAAAAATTCCTCTGTTGAAGCCCTGACCCCCAAGGTAATGGTATTTAGAAATGAGGCCTTTGGGAAGTAATTAGACTTACATGAGGTCATGAGGTGAGGACCTCATGATGGGATGTGTGGCTTTATAAGAAGAGGAAGAGAGAAAAAGCACTCTCTTCTGGCAAGTGGAGACACAGCAAGAAGGTGACCTTCTGCAAACCAGGAAGTGAGCCCTCACCAGGGAACCAAGTCAGCTAGCACCTTGATCTTGGACTTCCCAGCCTCCAGAACTAAGTCACACTGGGCAGAAGTGTCAGGAAAGATTGAGTGGAAACCCCTCCAAGACAAAGGCACAGGGTGAAGGGGCAGGCCAGGGTAATAATTGGAGGTCAGACGGGAGCCCAGGCCCACGCTCATTGCTCAACGCCCGTCCTCAGCACCTTATTTATGTTGATATGCAGAGCAGGCCAGGGCCCGGCAGCCTTCACAGTTTCCAGTTCCAGCTTCTTTAGGTGGGTGGCTGCCTCGCTGAACAGGGCCGGTGCTCCTGGAGTCAGTTCTGCAAGAGACAAAGGGGACGAATAAGGAAAGGTTGAAAGGGCAGAGGGATACCGGTGGTAAAGACCCTTGCCAGAGCCCGCTGCCAGCGCCCTTTCTGCCTGCCTCCTCCCCTGGCAGCTTGAACCCCTTGAGTATATGCTAGTTGGTGGCCCTAACGCCCTCACACATGAGTTGGGTGACCTTGGGTGAATCACTTTACCTCTCTGGGCCTCTAAGCCATGTTTAATTGAAAATAAAATTATTTACCTTGCAGAACTGTTGTGAATACTACATGACGTCCTTCATGTGCAAATGCTTTATTAGTGGTGAAGCACTATGCACATTGGAAAGGTTAGTGTTCAGGCTAACAGGCATATAAATGTGCCCTTAAAAAACTATGTTATAATTTTAAAGTCAGATTTTATTGATGTTGATTTCTGTACTTCTTGGGATTAGTTCGCTACCATTCCTCCCACTAGCATAACCCATGAAGATGTTAAATATTCAATACTCATTACATACTAAACCTTGTGCCAAGTATCATTTGCCATTGGGATCTGGGGAGCTGGAGTAAAGAGATGAATGAGACAGATGCATGTGCAGATAACTCCAAATAAGATGATAAAAGGCTTATTTAATTGCTATGGGAGTGAGAGGGAAGGTACTCTAAAGCTAGGAATCAGAAAAGGGGTGTTGGAGACCTTTTCAGTGACAACATTTAAGCTAGTTCCTAAAGGATGTGTAGGGGTTTGCTAGGGCGGACAAGAGCATTTCAGGCAGAGGGAACAGCAGGTGCAAAGAACAGAACTGGGACGCAGCACAGTGTTTGGTGAGAGGAGTAGCCCTGTGGCTAGAGCGCAGTAAGGAGTTGGGGAAGGCTGGAAACCTTGGCGGGGACCAGGCTGTGAAGGTCTGTGTGTGGCTGTGCTCAGGAGTGTGGGCTTTATCCCAGGACAGCGAAGAACCACGCTAAGGTCCCAAGGCATCTGGTCAGAGCTCCCTGGTGAGAGCGGTCTCCCTGGCAGCTATAACGCGGAGACTGCACTGGAGGAGGTGACTGCTAGGGGGCTGGTACAGTTGCCCAGCTACACACAGATCAGCCACTGCCTCAGACAAGGGCGGTGTGGATAGTGAGGAGGGGGCAGGGTTCTGATTCTTCAACACCAAGGGGATGACAAGTTCCCACATCCCGCTCAGCCAACCCAGAATTGTTTCCTGTGGTCAAAGGGAGAAGGCGCAATGGCTCTCTCCTTTCACCAGCTCACAGATTCATGAGATGTCAGTGCTGGAAGGTCCCTTAGCCATCCACCTAGACACCCTCTACTCCGCTTCACAAATGAGAAAAGTGAGGATCCCAGAGGGGATTTGGCTCAACAGTGAGAATGAAAGTCGTAGCCTCTTGACTCTTGCTTCCCCCTTGGTGCTTTTTCAAACCATAAATGATAGAGAATCAGTTCTTCGCAACCCTGCCTCCCCACCCCATCCCGCGAACCCCGCTGTCACAGACCAATTCCTTGGTAAAATAAAAAAAAAAGCGAATTTCTAGAAAAATAAAATAACAGACATACAAAATCCAAGGCCAAATTCCTTTAGTCTGAACAGGTATAAACTCACTGTCACATTGCTAAAGATGTTTCTAATTGCTTAGTCTGCATTTCCATCACTTCTCTCATGGGGACCTGTCACTGCACTCCGGGTCTACCTGAGGTCACCTTGCTCTCAGAAGGGGGATGTCAGAAAGAGGGGTGGAATGGGTTTTCCTGAAATTAGGAAGGCAGAGATTCTAGCTACCTCACTCCTCTTTCTGCTGTCCGTTGCTCTGAGCCAGACACTGCAAAAGCAGAGATCTGCTAAGGAATGAGGAGGTGCAGAGCAGATTGCTAACTTGCAATGAAAGAGTTTACTGGTAAATCATACACCCTAAGTTGCTCCTACCTAGATGCTCAAGGCTCTTGTCTGCTCTTGCCCAGACCTGGGAACCCAGCTCTGCCATTACCAACGGCCCACGTTGCACCTGATGGGCCTGTCTTGAGGATGTAGGGATGCCAGCCACGCCCTGTAGCTTCCCTCGCCCTATTCTCCCTGGGCTCCTGAGCCCTACTCACTTGTAAGGGATTTAGTGCTGGAGTTTGGGGACCTCAAAGGCCCCTCCTTGTTCTCCAGGGTCAGCGAGAGGCCATAGTTCGGGTGGTGCTGGTGCTGGTGGTGGTGATGGTGGTGGTGCCTTCCCGAAGCTTTGGTAGTGAACGGCGTGCCCCCGTTCTCCTCGATGCCGAAAGGCAGCCGGTCTGAGCTGCTGAGCCCTGGGGAAGGGAGCGGGTAGCTGTGGAGGGTGTCAAAGGCAGGATTTAGAAAAGCAAAATGCCTTGGTATTCCTGTGTGTACTTTAAAAGACATTCTCAAAGCATGAAAAACCAAGAGAAATCGGTTCAACAAATAGATCCACGGGGTTATGGTAGAACAAGACAAAAGGGCAACGCTGCATTCAAAGAAAAAGCAGAAAGTGGAAATTTGTATACATTAGGGACCTTCAACCTTAAATAATTCTTAACTTTGAAATTAAATAACTTCTTTTACGGAACGATGTTCTCTAAACAGGAAGGAGGAAATGAGAAGCAATAATAAAAAGTAATTTGTTAACCATCCTGTGACAAGATCATAATGAACTAGAAGTCTTGGAGTCCCTTTCCTTCCACTCCATCAATGCCACCATGCAGAAAGCACCTGCTCATGTTACTGCTGTGACATCTTTGAATTCCAATGGTTCCTCTCGTTTTTTTGTTTGTTTACCAATATTGCCTTATTTGAAGTCCATGTCACCTCCCACTTAGATGACTCAAACAGATTCCCAACAGCTCTCCCGGCCTGTGCTCTCTCCTTCAGCCCCCCTCCCACAGAGCAGTAGCCAGGGCTGTTCTGAGTGTGTTCTAGGGCACTCTGTTCTGACCACATTCGTGGCACTCCTCACTCCAGGCGCTTGCACACGTGCCCGTTACTAGTGATTCACAAGCATTTAAGATAGAGACCCCTTCCGGAAATCTGATAAAAACCACAGACCTTCCCTGCAGAAAAAGGCACCAAGACACAACAATTCACACTCAATTTCAGACTCTCGATAGCCCCTCCATGGACCAAGAGCCTTGGATTGTAGGATAAAGACCCAAATTTGTTTATGTGTCATTCATGGTCCCCCACAATCTTGCCCCATTGTCTTTTCAGCTCATCTCGTGCTACATTCTTCCCTGCACCTTACGTCCTTCCCATCCTGGTGCCTTTCACATTTCTGTCTCTTGGAGTCCTTCTCCATTTCTCAGCCCAGCTAAAACACCCCTTCGTCCTGGAAGACTTGCATCCTCTGACACTCAGATGGAAGGTCTCCTCCTCACAGCCCCGGTGGAGCTAACTGCTCTCTCTGCTCCTTCCTGTGGACCAGATTTCTACGGCCTACCCCTACACTCTGTCTTCAAGGCGCTCACACCTCAGTGTAGAAAACACCATGATTTGGTCAGTTTTACATGTTGGTAGACATTCATGAAATAGAATCCTCTTTCTCACGGGTGCCCCCAGTCCGATGTTTGCATGAGGTTGATATTTCCCGTCAGGGGAGGGCCTGAGACAGAGGTCTGGCCTTTCAAAGTTCTCCATCCATTCCGGCAGAGTGATTAGTTGTGGGATGTGATCCCATCGGGGACCACCAGAGTTTACCTCAAGGTTTAACACACGGAAACTGAGAGAAAGGCTCTCTCTTCCCTTCTGAGAGTCAAGCAGGGCCAATTGTGACTTTTGTGTGCCCCAAGTGAGCACTTGTGCCTTTACCCCTTCTCTATGAAAAATTAAGTTACACTTTACGATAGCACTTGTATAAAAATGCCACATATTAAAAGTTCATTTTTATTTCTGAGTTTAAAAGAAATTTAAATATTTTTGTGGGCCCCTAAAAGTATTGTGTGCTAATTATTCATTAGCGCCTACTGTGCTAATGAATAATTTGGCTCTGGCTATAATGATGATGTAAGTTGAGGCTACTTATGACCATATTGCCTGGACACAAAGAAGTATCTGTGAGAATGAGGCCAATACACATAAGAAAGACAAGATGAGGCAAGATTACAAGATGAGCAGAGGATACAAGGAGGCGCAAAGAAAGAAAAATCCCTTACAGTATTATTTGAACCTCTGGTTCCAGCCATGCCGGAAGCTGCATCTACCACTGCATTTTTCAATAACAAGGTCCAGTAAATTCTTTTCTGTTAGTTATTTATTCGTGTATTTTTGCTCGACGTAGTTGGCTTTCTCGCATTTAAAACTTGGGTGTTCTGAATCAGTGGAGGTATGTTATTTTGTTATTGTTTTTTATTTGTTTTGTAGAATCTTTTCAAGTGAAAAGGTAGAAATGGCATTGCAGGCGTATGAAATAGTATGAGCAAAGGACTGGCAGTTGAAGGCGCAAGTTGGCAGGAAGAGAGGGAGTGAGGGTGAAGTAGCAGGTGAGGCTAAGAAGCCACGCTGATGCCAGTGAAGACGGTTACGTGTGCCGGGTTTTCTGGAGGACAACGAGGTCCTGGGGAAAGGGCATAGGCCAGGACGTGGCATGACCGGAGTTACAGTTTAGAGAGTTCACTTTGCATGCTGTGTAGAGGACGGACTGGTGGAGAAAGATGCCAATCCCTTCCTGCACCAGGAAGGGCCTGGATAAGTCAGTGCACGGAGTGAGGTGAGGGGCCTTCGGGAACGTTTCTAGGATAGCGTGAGCAGGGCTTACAGGTCTGGCGCTTAGGGCACTGGGGGAGGGAGGTATGGAAAAGGCTTCTGCTCCAAATGGAGGCTACATTCCAGAAGAAACGGTGCTTGTTGTCCTCCCACGTTGTCCCATGAGTTAGGTCCCTGGTCCACCCTGGCTGCCTCCTGGTGGCTTTGCTCAGGAAAGCCCCAGAGAGAGAGAGAGAGAGAGAGAGAATGTGGAAGAAGGTGTGACTTTGGCTTCTGGGGGCAGGGGCCCACAGCCCAACCTCACCTCTCCAACCTGAAACCTCACCGAGGGTATCCACCCTTCCCATGGGGGCAGCAAAAAGCACACTGAGTTGTTGTTGACTGGGTTCCAGTCTTAGTTCTACCCCAACCTTGGAAGGAACCTTGGACAGTCGCTCTGGGTCTGTTTCTGCCCCTGTAACAGGAAGTGGGTCAGGCGGTGGCTAGCATCGTCTCTGGATTGCTCACTGCATACTTCTGTGCTGCCTGCATGCAGAGTGATCTTACCCATCCATGCACGTGGCAACTTCATAGCAGGGATTCTGGAGGCAGGAACAGCTCCTCTGTAGCTCACCAAGCAGCACACCAATTCTCCAAACACCTTCCAGACGAGGCTGGTTGGGGCAAACTGGCTCCTCATTACTTTTAGCCCAAAGTGGGGACACCTTCATATTCCTATTCAGAACTAACACCTCAGGGAGATGCTGACAAATAACTCAGCAGAGCTTCTTCCCAAATGATGGGCCTCTGAAGTGTGGCAAGTGGGCTGCACCACTTACTTTATCAGTCGTTAAAGTAGGTGAACAAACCCGGGAGTCTGGAGCCTCAATCAGCCTTGTCTGCTTATCCCAGTATGCAAAAAAAAAAACCCTATCTTTTTCTATGTGTGCCAAGGATGAGAAAAAATTTCGGAAGCACTGCCACTCGTCCATATTCTAGCCCATTAGCCCAGAACTGCGGCTCTCCAATGGGAACTCTCGTAGTGGAATCGACATGAGCACCATTTTTTTACACCAGATGGTGTGAGCCAGAAGCAACCTTCTGACTGAAGACTGGTGTGGTCACCATGCTCTCTAAATATTCACAGAGGAAAAAAACCAAAAGCTACCTTTGTTGAGTGGCCAGCACTGGGCCATCTATTAATTTATTTCATCTTTAACAACCATTTGAAGGGGCAAGTATTATTATCTTTATTTTAAAGATAACAAAACAGAAACAGAGAGACTAATCAACTTCTCCAAAGCCGCACAGCTAATAAATGGCGAAGCTGGGATATGAACCCAAGCAACATGAGTCTAGAGCTCTGTGCTCCCTCAAGCATTAAGAGACACTGTATTTTATCTTTTTGTGGACAAAAGGAGCAGTATAATGACATTAAAAGAATGCTGTTGGCACTCAGCTTTGGTTTTACGGGCACTTAGCTATGTACCTGAGGTAACTCATTTCACTTATCTGGGCCCCAGACACTGTATATGTGGACAAACATTCATTAAGCATTTATATGCCAGGAACTACAGCTCAATGAAATATTTTGATCTCTGCCATGTCCGGTTAAGATATAGGACAAGGTGCATTTAGTTGTCATGGTTTCCAGGATACCTGTCACTGACTTCAATTTTTATTTAGTAGAGACTAAACAGCGTGGACCATTAGACCAACATATTTGCTACAAGCTCTTACTGAATTCAGTGGAAGCATACCATTTGGCAATAAGCACAGAAAGAAGGTATATTTGAAAAACTGTATCTTTTTCATAATGGGTTTGAGAAGAAAATTGTGTAAACATCTTAGAAATGTGACACATTCCAAATGTTAGGTCTATTAATTAGAGATGATTTCTTTCAGTAACTTAGCAGTTTCTTTCTTTCTTTTTTTTTTAAGAGCAACTGGAGAGAGAAGATGTCTTCCCTCATTTCTCTCTTTTCTGAAAAGGTCAAAATTACATTTTTTGGCATGGTTTAGATATCTTTATATAGACTACTAATTGGCAGAAGAGAATTTTCCCAATTTGTATTTCTTTGAAGACATCTTCCAAGCAATCAACTTGGAAGTGTTTAATTCTGGTGTTAGCACAAGGGGATGCCTAAATTCTTACAGACCGGGAACTCTTCTTTTGATCGGTTTATTAGCTACCTGGAGCCGAAGACGGCCTCTTCTCAGCATGAGTTCCTGGCCCAGGGCAGAAGCTAAGTAAATATTTGTTGAACGGGTGGCATAGAGCATTAAGTTTTAATTCTCCCTTAGTAATTTATCAAGGGGTTATTCATCAAAGCTTCACTTTGATCACGAATCCTCCAGGTTTCCCTCACATGACATTCTAGTCTCTGCCAAACTGCGGAGGACACTATTCCACACCTTAAGGAGCGATGAGAGCCGTTAAGGTTTAGTGGTAACCGAGTCTCTGTCCTGTGTGAGCCAGAGCAGGATGTGTGCCCCATCTCGGAGTCTGGAATTTTCCTTTGGCGAAACTGCTATCGAATGCTTTCAACGAATGGCTGTCAGCAGATGGCAGGCCTTGAAAATTTCCTGCCAGAAAAATCTATCATATCCTGATAGTATTCTTGCTAATTTTTA